GCGAGATCAAGGTTTTGGTGATTCATGTCTGCGCCATGGGCTGATTGCTGCGAGTGATGATGAGCTCGTGATGCAGGATCGACTTCAAGACTAAGCGCTCTGATAAAGGCATCAAGGACCTGAGGCGAACGTGTGTCCTGCACTCGCGCACCAAGTGACCTCCAAAAAGATCCCGAGTGGGAGTGATTGGCGTTATTTTCCTGTAAGGCGCCGATTGCACTCTCCATTAGTATTGATACGTCCTCGTTCCTCGGTATCTGAGTCGCACAAGAACGTGTTTGGGTTCGACGATGATACAAAGTGGTATCGTGAAGGGCAACTGGATGCGAAATCTCTTCTGGTGCGAGTGCGCTCTCGATCTGGTCGCCATGATAGACATCGACCTCTATTTTCCATACCGTGTTCACCCAGGCTTGATAGCGTGCCAGAGGGAATATTCCGATTGTGACATTTTCGACTTGTGTCAAGGATTCCAACCAACATTGGACTTCGGCGTCGTCATCGTCCTCGATCGGTAGCCCAAAGGTCCATTCATTGACATGGTTTTGGATGATCTTTGAGGCGCAAAGATTTCTCTGGAACCCAACGAGATCCTCGAGAGGTGCGTCCTCTATTCCATCTAACTCTTGAACAAGTCCAAAGGCGAACCAAGTATGAGAGCCGCCGAAGGGGTCTGTCTGGTCTCGTGAAGAGCTGGTAAAGCCTATCACCCGAATGATCAACAGAGTGCTCTAAATTGGCCCGATTTGATCCACTGCCAATACGCCGATAGCTGGGGAAGAGGCCTACCTTGATCATTTGACCAAATTTTCACCACCAAGCGATCTATATTCCCTGACCCAACCTGAAAGGTTAGATAGGGTCGCCTTGGTGTGTTCTCATCGAACTCCACAAGAGAAGTTCGAGAGAACTTTGTTGGCGACATCAATGCCATACTGAATGCCTCTGTTCTTGTGAGGTGAGAGGGGAGACCAGACAGCGGGGGAAACTAGAATTCACGCAATGGCAAAGAGCAGCAGAGGATGGATTGCCTTCATGGATTGTGTTTGTGAGGTCCTTATGTCGCGGGCTTGTTAAATCTGGGTTCGATGCAAGATCCCTCCAAATAGGCCACGTACGTACAACTTGGCTGCAGCTTTTGCCTGGCCGCTAGCTCTGGCCATGTGTACTCTATGTCACCCCCGAAGCCAACAAAACGCGACTCCCGACTGTTGGAGAGCTGTTGGTGGTTTACCCTGGATGTGCAGCACTCGCGGTCCACTTATGGGGCACCTCGTACTGGGCTTTGGAATTAGCCATGCAGAATCCCTGCATGAGGGCTTTTCCTGATGCTACATCAATCAGGCTGTGAAATATACGTCGCACGGGTGGCTACCGTAGGGAAGGGGTCTCGACACCCTCTTAATAGAGGATAGGCAGGGCTGTTGCTGACTGGCCGTAAGGCGCTTGATGGTCATCGCCACTCCGAAATCTGCAGTAGGCTCAAAAAAGGGGGGCTTGATCGTGATATTGTCATGGAGCGCATCCGAGGCACCGAAGGTACTATTCACCGCAGAGCAACGTACGAAATTGTGTAGCGTTAAGATGATGAGGTACTAATACCCATAAGTGCAAGTGTGGAAAGCTGGCCATGCGTATGGCCATGGTTGGCGGGGTGTTGTATCTTGGTGGATAAGGTATCGGATGAAGAGCGAGGGGAAAGAGGTTGCGAACCACAGGGGACACTCTAATGGAATGGGTCGCTCAGGCAATCAACAGGCATATCAAGCCCAGAGCCGGTGTGCCGGGGATAATGGAAACAGGGTGGAGTGGATTGATTTCCCATAGGGCGGCTTATGGTATGAGGTGAGGTGAGGTGGTGAGGGGTAGTGAAAGGGACATCTATTATCAGGCAGCCGGCAGCAGCCTGGAAACAGAAAAGATATGGATGCTCTTTCTTATCTTTTTTTTATTTTGTTTTGCGACCCAAGGCAGATGGAAAGCAGTAGGGGAACAACTCTGCCTCGACCTCTCTGAATAACGCTCAGTCTCGTAAATCGTATCCCCAAAGGCGGCCATTGGATCCACAGATATTCGACACTGTTCCTATTTTGAACTGTAACGATATTCTTCTGACAATGAGTGCACCCGGCGCGAAGCGAGCCTTGCTGATCGGAAGCCCCGTGCATGGGTTGCGTGGAACCGAAAATGACCTCAATACAATGACAACCATCCTTAAGAGCCGCGGGTTCGAAACAGAGAGTGCCGTCTATGTCAACAGACTCTTTCATCGAGACGCCACCCGGCAAAAGATTCTAGACGCTTGGGAAGCCCTTATTCGAGACGCTTCATGGGGCGATACTGTTGTCATATACTATTCTGGCCACGGAGTTTGCGTTGAATCCGACGTTGCAAATGAAGCATCGAGACAACCGTCTAAGATACAATTTATCGTTCCGTACGACTTCGACTGTACTCTCCAGCAGTGGAAAGGAATTTCGGACGGCGAACTCTCTCTTTTGCTTCGAAGAACAACCGCTAAGACGAGAAATGTTACGTACATCCTCGACTGTTGTCATTCTGCACGTCTCGGCCGCAAGTATGGGGAGGTTCACTTCGAGCCGAAAGCTTTCGGCCTGAGCAAGTCTCTGTATACGGAACTTGCCACAATTCTGGAACGGTTGAGACAGAAGGGACGTTTCACAGAAGATCGTTTGGATACCAACCCCTATGCGGTACGCATCTCAGCCGCAGGCACAGACGAGACCGCCTGGGAATATCACAAGGACGGCCACAGCTACATGGGCCTTTTGACCAGAAGCCTTTCAAAAGCTATCATGAAGTCCAACGACAACAGATCTTGGAGAGATATTATGCTCGAAGTTGCCGTGCTGGTTGAGCAAGATTATCCCGAAGGCAACCAGCATCCTCGATCGGCAGGACCTGATAACCGGAGACCTTTTTCGCTCGATACGACAGCCACAGGAGCACTTCTTGCAACCATATGGGACGACGAATATACAATGCTGCGTGGAGGTCGTGTCCATGGTATTCAGAAGGGCGACGTGTTCACCATTACACCATTTGGTTCCCATAATCGATCTGGGGGCAAAGCAACAGAAGGAACCGTTATACTAGTAAATGCATTTGCCGCTGTCATCAGCCCAACGCCAAAGCCTTCAGAGTATGGGTTTGCTATGGACCGTTTAATGGGCCACGCAGTCTTGCAGAAACGCCAGACCCAATTACCAGTCCTGCTTCCGGCAGACTCTCCGATTCTTCCACGTATTAATGCATTGATGGATCAGTTCGTCTTCCTCAAAACATGCGCGGCGCATGAACGGCCACTCTTAAAAATACGGCATGAACAGGACGGAATCATTCTTCAAGATAGCCGAGGCTTACAATTGCACACCGAACGCCTAACCAATGGGGTCAGTCTGAATGGTGTGCTCAGAAGACTTTTGGAACGCGCGAAAGAGTATGTTCAAGCCCAAAACATTCTGTCCCTCCGGTCAGGGATAGACGATGAGGCTTTTGGCGACAATGTAGACATAGAGGTAGGGATACAGAACGGTGGTGCGAAGAACGTTCTTACACGTCGAAGTCAATCGTAAGTCAAAGACTCCCATTCACGTTTGGTGCAAAATATTTACGCGTACCCAGATTGCCGGGAGCGACGATCGAGAGAGCAGCTTTTGCTCTGAAAGAGAACGATCGATTGTATATCTCAATGAAAAACACAAGTACTAATAAGGTATTTGTGAACGCACTCAGCGTAGATGCGGCGGGGAAGACTACATTGGTGTCGAAGGCATGGGAACGGGGAATTGGTCTGACGCCAGGACGCTCTCACACTCTTGCACTCAGGACATTCCCCCTGCTAGGCATACCGATACGATGGCCTACTTCAGTGCCAAGAAGCGGATATGTGGAAGAAAGTCTGGTGTTTGTCATCACGAACGAAGAAGTTGACCTAAGGAATCTTGATGCGTCGTTGAAGGGCTACGTTCGTCGTGGCCCTGACGATGCGGCAGCACGGGACAGTGGTATTATTCAATATCACGTGGAGCATGTGCAATATCATCTTCGACCATCTTCATCGTCTTAATTCTTTAGAAGCCCGCCTGTACACCCGAGTAAATAGTAGTCTTTTTAGACTTTGATTGTTCCTTGCGTGTTTGTGTGTTTGATTCATGTTGTCATTCACCGCCTGACTCGGGATCAAGTTGACGATTCATTTGAGTTCGTTATTGACTTCGTCACCACCGGAGATGAGCGAGATTTTACGCCGCTTACTTACTAAGACGTCCAGTCTATGCAAACCGGGCTGCGCCCCTAGTGAACCTGGAAAGCGATCAGACAAATTCCATCGCCACTGGACTCACCGCGAGCAGTTTTACGTCGTCTTCAATTCTTGGCATAACTCCACTGTGTCTGATATCCAGCTCGCGACCCCTGCCTGTTCGTTTGAAGTCAAACGTCGCTGTCACACAAACGAGAGACTGGTGGGTCGTCCGAAGAAGAGCCTCATCGTCGATGAGCCGCAAAAGACTGGAAAGACTGGTTTGAGCTCATTTTTGTTTTTTCCAATTATTGCAGATCAGTAATGGATTACACGTCAGATAACATTGGGTTTGTGCTGAAGTAGCCTTACCTGCAAGCCCCCATGAATAGTCTAACAGACGTCGAGGCGTGCTACTTGCTCGTGGAAAGACAGCCATAATGCTGCATTTGACTCGGCAGTTGGGTATTACGAAGCAGTGCCTCAGTTCAAAACCGTTGCGTAAGTGCCCAGGGACGCCTGGTCTGCATTATGGTCAAGCTCAATGATCCGTGCGGTCTGCGGGCAGACCGGTGGAACGTGTGCGAGCCGCATCCCTGCTCACTTGATCTTGCGTTTCATCAAGCGGCTTGCGACATTGATATAAGACGACAGCCAACCCTCTGTACAAAACCTTGCTGTTGCCTCTGATCTACATCCTTCAGCGCAGCGCAGTTTTCCTCCAAATATCGTCCCGATGCATCAATCTACCGTCGCCCTCCTGGTGAGCAATGCCCTGGTGGCTTGGGCTGCGACTCCCTCAGGCTTTCAACCTGCGTCCAATGTCGACCTCATTGTTGCCTATGGAGACCAGTCGGCTCTCAACGGTGTTGATCTGGCGAAGAGCCGTAAGTTCCAGCAGACTCTACGACATCAGAACGACTCGGACTAACCGGACTAGTCACGCAACAGGAGCCTACCTTCGGTACGACCGAGCCCTTGACTGGAAAGAGCTATGCCATCATCATGGTTGACGTCGATATTCCGACCAACAACCCACCGCAGACTGGCACCTTCCTGCACTGGGCCCAGACGGACCTGACTCCCGTCGCTCAGACGACAACAGTCAAGCTGAACGATGGCGAGCGCACCATTCACACTCTGACGACCAACTCGGCTGCGATTGCGGACTATAAGGGCCCCGCGCCACCAGCAAGAGTGCCCCTGACGCATCGCTATATCGAGATTCTTGTCGATACCAGCGATATCACGGCAGAGGGAACCGCGGCGCTCCAGACCCTGTCGACCCGCGGAGGCGTTCAGGTCAACGACGTGCTCACTCAGGCGGGACTGGCGAACAAGGTGGTGGCTGGCAACTTCTTCACCGTCACCAACCCCGGACCCGCTGCGAACGCTGCGAACTCGAGAAAGAGCAACAGCAGTACCGCCGCTCCCACCGGAGGTGTAACCCCGTCAGCGAGGCCCACAAACATTTCCATGGGACAGAAGTCAACAGGGTTCTCCACCACGACGGTCTTGAGCGCGGCCGCTGCCGGTCTCCTGGCCCTCTTCGCCAGCTCGTTCTAAGCGCGCAGGTTGGGCCGGTGGACATGATGTGTTGGGCTGGAGGAATTTTCTGACGCCGGTATCGCCAGAGGAGAACGCGCGGCGCGCGTGCTGCATGTTGTTTCTGAGCGCCGTATATCGTCTCAGGTAATTCATAATACAAGCCAAGTTTCATCTGATTGTCGAGTGCGTGCCCCCTGTTTCACAACGGCGATGACATCGAGAGGCACGGACCGCCGAAGTGGGGCCGGCAACGGCGAGCGGTAGACGGACATCGTCCGAGTTCGCGCCGAAAAGGATACTTAGCTACCTGAACTGAGGTGTGTAAATTATCCTTGCATTAGTTGTTGTATTGGCTCTTAGAAGCTGCCCCCTTGACAGCGTCATTTTTGTCTTTGCGGTTTCCTTTTTCTTATTCGGGTCTGCAAATCCATTCTTCCCCGTGATATTGAATGCGATGAAAGTCCCTGGAGAAGTAACGGGCCTTTCCATGTCGATAATGTTGTATCTGCGTTCATCCTTCCGATATCAGTTTACAATCATGATCATGCACCTGTCTCATTCGTTAGTTCAGTAGGAAGATCATCATCTAATGAGTCATTTTCTGTCCTCAGTGTGTTTGTGCTGATTGTGACCCCACATCTGAAATGTCAAAAGTGAATACTATGAGTGTATGTTGGAGACAATCATGAGCTCGGTGTGACCTTAATCGAGACTGAGTGAATATTCGATACATAAATGCGCCATTCAATATGTTGCATCAGCTGCAGCAAATGACCACAATCATTATTATCCTTGAGAAATATCTGATTGCCCAAAAGCCTAGGTAGGCCGAATTACGTGGGGAACTTGACTTGCTGGCGATTTCCATAGTCTAACAACAGCAAAATCTGTCAACTTTCCATCTAGGGGCATTGGGTGGAATCCGTGAGTGAGAAGTTGTCGAGCAAGAAATCGGCGACAGCGGGGTTGGCGGTGTCCGCGCAAGAAATCGCAACTTGAAAGATCGGGTTGGCGTTGTAGCCCGGGTCTGGAGTGTAAATCTGGTCCGACAGTTGGTACTCACCTGCGGGCGTGTTGCCCACAGTGATGGTATTTCCCACTGAATATGTCCCAGACATTTGTAGTCTCAACTGACAGTTGCCGTATGCTCCGGTCTGTGTCAAAATACCCAGCCCGTAGTAAAACCTTAGACGGTAGGGCCTGTTGACTGTTAAGCCGACAAGAACCTGCGCAATATATCCAGATTGAACACCGGAGTAGAATGGAGTAAACCTATATCAGGAGGCGAAATGATGAGTATTTTAAAGAACAAGTAGAGTTGACCCAGAAAGCACTCACGCATATTTATTGCCGTCCTGCGGGTGGTCGTACACACCAACAACGCCGGTCTCAACAGTTGTTCGATAAAGAATCCAGGGGTTCGCACCATTCTCGAAGCTAGGATTTTGAACAAGGTTTACTGGCACGCAAGACGAACTGCTCGATGTGCTTGACGATGTAGTTCTCGTAGAACTTGTGGACGTAACCGTAGACGTTATGGAGCTTGGTGATGTGCTGCTTAACGATGAAGTGCGCGATGACGATGAAACCGATGATGAGGTGCTTGACGGAGTAGCACTTGTAGAACTTGCGAACATGAATGTAGACGACGAGAGGCTTGACGATGAGCTGCTTGAAGATGAGGTGCTCGCTGATGAGGTTCCTGATGACGAGATGCTCAACGACGAAGTGCTTGGAGATGGCGTGCTTGATGATGATGTGCTTGAAGATGAGGAGCTCGACAATGATGAACCCGATGATGACGTGCTTGAAGAAGATGTGCTTAGAGATGTGATGCTCGACAGTGTGGTGCTCGTCGACGTGCTGTATAAGGCGGTGCTCGAAGAGGGGGCGCCTGACGATGTGAATGTTACGCTCGGCAGTGTGGGCGAGGTGCTTGCTAAAGTCGTGCTGGATAGCGTGCTGCTTTGTGCCGTAGTCCTGGATGTCCTCGATGTGGATGGTAACAGGTCACTAGTTAGAGAAAGCCGCGAGGGTTCAATGCTCGAAAGTGTGGTGTTTGAGAAGTTAAACCTGGAAGAAGTTCTGCTTGAGGCGGCTGTGGGGTCATTCGATGGCGTGGGTACGCTAATGGGTATTGATAATCTTGAAGACGTTGAGAGGACTGAAGAGCCTGGGGTATCAAGAGTCACTGATCCCGAAATCCTCGTGGGAATTGCCACAGAAGCAGTGGTGCTACCTGGGTTGACCGAGATTCTAGGGGTTGTGGATGCGTCTGAGCTGACTACCGCCGAAGGAGTCGATACAATATTGGAAGGAGCGAGAATGGTGTTACTGCTACTGCTTGTTGTTGTGGGTGTCACCAAAGCCAACACGAACTCGAATTGAAGGTCATTCGGAATTGATTGGGCATCCACCAGTGCGACCGCAGCGCAAATGGCGGCCAAAACCCTGTGAGAACCCATTTAAGAGAACTGATCGAGAAAACGCGCCGGCCAAAGAAATACTTGGCGGTCTTCCGAAGCGGCTGTATTTAGTATCCGAACACTTCGTTCGTGGAATCGTGCGTCGCTAAGGAGCCAATCCCTGATGTTTGTGATGATCGATTCTGCCTGCCGGGATTGGATCATAGATCAGGGCGGAAATGATGCCTGCAGCAATCGTTCGTTAAACATGCCAAAGGAAGTTGCAGGCATCTGTCTCGCGCGAGACACCTCTCAACAAGCGTTTTCTCCCTCGGAAATTCAAGACATGGCGGGGTTCCCACAGGCTGAGCTGAAAATCCCCATTCCTCGCTTTCCCAATCAACATGATAATCAGTGTGACGAAAGAATGTTATGCTATCTCCCTCTACTGTGCGCTCATGTTTTCACAGGGATGCCCCTGAAAAAGACAAATCGATCTCTACGCTAAGGACGTCTCGTTCGGTCCTCGGCGCAGCAATAAATCCTGGCCTCGGCCCGCTCATTGAGAACTTTCGATCGCTCCAGCGCTGGAGCAGTAGGTCCGTGGATGTCTTTAGGGCTTGGAGCTGTCTGAATGTGGAATTGTATGTTGAATTAAGCTCGATTAGCTCGCAAATGTGGCAAGACATCATCACAAGCACATCATCGTCCTGAACCCCATGTGAAGGGAAAAGGCCCCCTCACGTATCACCGCGGCCTTGCCACCCAAAGTCTTCCGTGGCAAGATGCATCCAATGGTGTTCCGCAAAGACACAGGTTCGAGATATGACAAGAATCATTTTCCTGACAAGGTTATACTGGCGACGAACAGAAATTGATCGGTGAGCAACATAGTAACTTTCGTCGGCACCAACGCCTGCCTCCCAACAAAATATTGATGTCTTTCCAGAGAAAGATAGGTCTCAATCACCCAAAAGGTCAAGCTGCACTGAAAGTCTCCACGAACACGATGAAAGCTGCCGCGAGGTGAAAGAAATATTGGCTTGGGGTTTCATGTCTCCCAAGTTGGATCCGATGCCGCCTTCCTAACTCATATCAACTTCAGATACTGATGTGATTTTCTGCAGGTTGTCGTCAATGTGCCTGTGCAGATCATGACCCAAGTTCGAGTGATGTTATTACCGGATGCTGTCGGGAAGATAATATCTACCTCTTTTTGATAAGAGGGGTAAAATTTGGCTTTGGATTTGCGTCTACTCCAGCCAATGACTGTGATTACCCTTGAACAGCATATGTGACTGCTCAGAAGCCTTGATGAGGCGGCATTGTCCTTGTACGCTGACTGGCTAGCGATTCCCACTCCAAGCGGTCGAGGCCGGCTTGGCGCAGATCATTGGACCGGGTGCCCAATCCAACAGGCCCGCGAAATTCTATCAAAATGCAGCTGAAAGCAAGGTTACTTTTGGTGCAAGCACGGCTCAGATAAGCAGTTTCCGGCCGATCAGCACGTTCCGCCAGCGCACAGCACCGCACCGGTGAGCTTTGCCAAGAAAATCATCTACGCCGAAGAGTGTGATGTTGAGATATTTACAATCGACATGGACAACCTAAATTAATGCCACAAAAAAAAGCTCTTGCCACACAGCTTGTGCCAATCTAGGGTGATCATTCCATAGCCTCTTCTTCACACGTTGAGCCAAAGCACAGTGAGCTGTAGACTTTCTTATCGGTGCTTCGTCCTGTTCCCAACTCAAATAGTGTCAGTAGCCTCAAGCCTGGCAGATATCAAGGCAGGAATGAGATCAGACTTGGTTTGCTTTTTGCGTATGTGATACCTTGCAACATCGCGTACACATGCTTTCCTTCTGGGCTAGCGTTGCCAGACTGTTACACATATTTCAGGCGAGCAATTCCCAAATCGAGCAGTCTTGGACTCATCTGAAATACGACAGAGTATCATTTTTAGGGCAGCTTGACACTAGAGTGCTTGAGGCATACCCACTGCATTATCTGAAAGGAAGAAAAAGGTGATGATCAGTCTTGGAGATTGTCGTTTGTGACTCGGCTTGCATGAGCTGAAAGATTGGGTGGGGCTATGTGACGATTCCTCAGTGCTCGGTCTGCCCATAGCCGCCAACTTTTCGATGGCAAGATTGGGTTCTTCAAAAACGTATGGCTTCCAACTTCACGACCAGCTTCTCGAGGACCAAGGTTGCCCTGTCACCACATTCTGCACTCTACTCATCGCGTGCTCTTTTCGACTGTTCACTTGTTCTTTTCTGGCCCTCATCACGATGGCTACGCAGACCGTCAACGCCTCCACGCCAGGACTGGTGGGCTGGACCGCCGGGCCAGAAACCGTGGTACGCTCACGCTTGTCTGGAGCTGCTTGATCACAATTTTTGCCTGCACGTGGACTGTGCTACACCTGAATGTTCCAGGACGAGAGGGTGCAATGGCCATTATGCTACGAAAAATGAAGTGGATGGCCATCAACGTTCTTTTCCCGGAGTTCATCTTTGCTAAAGCCGTTTGCGACCTACGGCTCGCGCTCGAGGAACTCCGCGAGTTTGATATCAATGTAGCACAGAAGAAGACGCGTCTCCAGCTTTCCGAATGGACCGTGTCATATAAGGGGGCCAGCCACGAGTGGTCCTGGGAGTTCGAGTACCCACTGTGGGCGCGCGGGCTATATGGTCTGCTAGGCCTCACACCTCCGGAACCTCCTTTCAACGAGAAGCCTCTCCCGCAATGGATTTCGAGAATATTTTCTCTGATCTCTTCCAACGCCAAATCGTCCGAGAATTCGAGCGATCCTGAGGCCCAATACTCGAACGGTCAAAGCTGCCTATGTGAAAACCCGGGAATCCCTTCATATAACCTACAAGAAATTGCGAGTTTTTCACAAGACCAAAGCGCTTCCTCATCGAGAGCACAAGAAGTTGGCCTATCCCAGACGCCACATATAGCCTCTCGAGTCAAATACCGAACCGTCCAAACATGGACCGTGGTACACTCGTATTACGTTCAAATGGGTGGCTTCCTATACCAACGGAGGTCCTCGGCTACTAGTCCTCTATATTACTCTTGTACAGCTTCCATGCTGACTTAAAAATATTCGTTCAACGGCGAAGAATGCGAAAACAATCTACTCGAACATCTGATTCTAAGCGAGCGAGACATCAGAGACAAGAGCAAAGCAGATTGGGTCTTGAAAGGAATCGCTGTTGTCCAGGTGGCATGGCTCATTCTGAGTGTGATCGTCCGTACCATTATGGATCTTCCGATTGCCCAGCTTGAGATTGCGACGATTGCGTTTGCTGTCACAGCTATACTTAGCTACGCAGCCAACTGGTGGAAGCCAAAGGATATTTCTCAAGCTACCATTCTCGAAACGCCAGCTTGGGGTACTACTCCAGGGGGGAAGCAAGCTTATACGCAATCCCTTAAGCTTCGGCTTCTATCGCCAATGGAGGCTGCGGAAAGTATTAAGAATATTCACGACGAATTACCACGAGTTCCCAATGACTTCGTGTGGATGGAGGGCGACAGCCCCCTGATACTCACCATTATGGCCATTTCATCTCTGGGCTTTGGCGGTCTACATTGCATCGCTTGGTACTTTCAGTTCCCTTCCCAGGCCGAACTCCTTTGTTGGAGAATCGCAAGTGTTATCTCAGCTACGCTGCCTGCGGCCACCTTAGGAATCAACCTCATCGTCCACTTCCTGGTAACTAGTTACACCGATTACAAGCTTGTATCAACTCTCTTACCCCAGCTTGACCCGTTGAAGGAGGTTCATGCGGGGCTTTGGGCGCGTATGAAAAGTCCAAGCTGGAACGATTGGTCTTTTGAGGCACAAAGACTCATAATACGGAACCCAACAGGGTCAAGAGATTGGGAGAAGGAACCATCGAAGAAAATGTTAGCCAAATACGCTCCCCCCGAGGCTGATGCAACTCGGTATGCGAACTATTGGAATTTTCAAGATGATTTAAAAAACTTCTTAGATATCTGGGAGAAAGCTCAAGAAGTAAGCCCATTTGAGGCGCGAACTTTCCAAAAAGCATGGTTCAACCAGGGTTCTTGGATGCAGGCAGATTCCAAAGCGGAGTTGCTCGTCTTTTGGCAGGAATATGAGGACTTCATCAAGCGGGATCTAAAGATCTCCCTATCGGACGGACACAATACTGACTGCATCGCCTTCATACTTCAAGCCTACAACGAAGCTGCGAAGGAACGACTATGGTGGGAAAGCTTTAAAAAAGCATGTGATAAGGCATCACTTATTCTCACGATTGTCAGTGGTGTCATCTACACAGCTGCCCGCTTGGTCATTCTCGTCCTTCTTTTTACCTGCCTCAGAGAGACACCAGAAGGTGTCTACCGGGTAACGCTCTGGCTCAACTCCCTGCCGAAATTTTCTTGAAATAAGCAATGTATCCTCCGATTTACCTTCGCAGCAGCACCGATACTTTCAACTTGAGAACTTCCGGGTGAACAAGCAATCCTGGCCCCAGGCGAAGAAGAATCTAGCGAAGAGCTGCCGTGTACTAGGCAGTGGTGGTTGAGAGTGGAGCAGGAGGAGGCCGGAGAGATTAAAGGAAGAATGACAATGGCATTAGGGAACATTTGAAATTTATCAACAGCTCGCCTCTCAGAATAGTTGCAGTATCAGTACCACAACTCACACAGAATAGCTCTCACAGCCTAGTGCGAACTACTTCATTCCCAATTCTATGCATGCTGAGATAAGGCATTGTTATTCTCAGTGGTATTGGCCTTTGAGAAGTGAACCTGCCCCAGGCAGCAGACCCACAAATCCCCTTTCACCTCATCTCACCTCACCTTTGTCCTCCGCCCATCCAGGTACCATCCCATCAACCTTCACGGTCTCACCACACCCAAACGTTCCTTCCATCCTTTATAGTCAAGGTAGCGGTCTGGTTCTCTCGTCCTGGCCGGCCGCATCCGTAACTCCAGAGGCCGTCTTTAGCCCAGCGGCAAGTCAAAGTGAGGGTAGAAACCAACCTTCGGGTGAGTTTCATAGGTTCGAATCTCCCTTGGGACTCTGCACCCCTCGAGATTGTTCCGAACTTTTGCTTTTTTTGTCAACTTCTGTTTGCTGGATTGACTGGTTACTTTTTTTCTTTTCAAAAAATGTCGAAAAGGTGGTTTTTGCATGTTGTTGATTGCACCTGCTTGCGTTGGTTTGCTACCTATGTTTAAAATTGAAAACTTTTGTCTGTTGATCTTCCTAGTGGATGTTTCTTTTAAGATAGAAAAGAGTCTGAAGTGGTTCCGTGGTTTTCCGTTGCGCCTGTTCTGGTTTGGTACGAAGCTGGAAAATTTTGATCTTCATGGAATTAAAAATATCTAAGGAAGCGTTTTTGTTACGTCCGATCGTACATGCAGACGTTAATGAGCCCGAGAAAGAATCGCGTCCCTGCGTCTAGTAGTCGTCCTCATCCTGCTCGTCGCCAGATTCGCCCTCCTCAGCCATGTTCATAAACATGCCACTCTCCTCATCCTCGTCTTCTTCTTCATCCTCCTCGTCGTCGGTATCATCAACGCCAATAGTTCCTTCCGTCTCAGGCTCTGACTCGGACTCGATGGGGTTTTTGCGACGATGAGCCATGAGCTTCTCAGCAAGCGACATCTTCTTTGGCGGCGCATCCTCCTCCGAGCTTTCCTCTTCTTCAGACTCGTCCGATATCGGGTTTTGTTGGCGGTTGCGTTGGAGCTTCTCAGCGAGCGAAAGCGGCTTCTTTGCTCTTGACGGTTCGTCTTCCTCGTCCAACTCAGCCTTGGCCTTGTCATTCCCAACCTGCGCGCCACCATCGTCTTCATCTTCTTCCTCATCGTCCGAGGGTAGTACCCGAGCGCGTCGCCCAGCCGGTCGCGCAGGCTTTTCCCCCTCGTCCTCCTCATCTTCATCCTCATCGTCGGATACGACCACACGTCGGCGCCGGGTTGTGCTCTGGGCAGGCTGTTCCTCCTCGTCGTCTTCATCATCAATCTCGGAATCGATCTGGATGAATTCACGTTGTCGCCTTCTAGCTGGGGGTTGCGAGTCTTGTCCCTCGGTCTCTTCCTCCTCATCATCGTCATCCAGTACCACCAAAGGCCTACCGCCTCGCCCACGCGGACGATCTCCTGCAGCTTCCGGCTCGGGGCTTGAGAACTGTGCCGCTGAAGCATCGCCGTCGACCAGCATGCTGCCGCCGTCCTCGTCTCTTAATGGCGAGAACCCGCCAAAGTCGGAAGCGCCACCATCCTCCTCGTCTTCGCTTTCCTGGCTGCCGTCGATCTCAAGGTCATCCACGTCCGGGTCCTCATTCACAGACTCCTCATCGATGGTGGCGTCGTCGATACCGTCGCTCTCGTACTCATTCTGATCCAAGTCGTCTTCTTCCGAGGATTCCCCTACTTCGTCGCCTTCTTCATCTTCATTGGAGTCGTACTCCCGTGCATCGCCGTGCTTTGCCAAGAATGCGGGAAACCTGTCCGCGGCGTCCCAACCGAAGCATGTCATTCGCCAGTACTTGATGTCGCAGAGCTGTTCAAACATGACATCCCACTCCCCGACAGTCTCGGCTTCGAGATCAGGGTCCCCTTCCAGGATCGTCTCCCGGAGTTCGTCGCCGAGTTCGTCCAAACCGTCCATAGCCGCAAACTGCTCAGATGCATGTTTCGCGGCGAATTCCGGGTGCTTGTCGACGTCAGGCCAGCAGTACACAAAGTGCAGGTCTTCGCCAATCCGGCACTCTCGCTGTAACTGCTGGAGCTCGTAGCGGTGAATCTTGTCCGAGGCGCACCATCGCAGCTTTTTTGGGGGACGTCCCTCATTGTGCCACTCGAATTTGTAAAAGTTGATCACCTCGGGAAAGGATGCGAGAGTCTGCATTTCCTTGAGCTGGAAGTAGTCGATATCTGCAGCGAGATGGAGCACGTTTTCTGAAAATCCTGGAATGACGGCGTTGTGAGCCCACTCCTTCCTGTGGCCGTTGATGTGCACAATGTCGCACTCCTTGTTGAAGTGCACAATCCGGCGACCTTCTCGGATGGCTAGCGTGTCTGGGAACGCCTTGAGCGCGATCTCGCGACTTTCCTGGTGAAGACCTAGCATCGCGTCCACCGCCCGGATCTGGTTATCCAGAGTCGCGCTTTCCCAGATAACGTCTTGCGTCGGCGAGCAGACCATCTGGAAAGAAAGAACGCGCGGTGAACGATCAAGATCAGGACAGAAGTACTGCCAGATGCGATGGCGCAGCTCGATAGGCAGCTTCTTGAACTGGGTAAAGACCGCTTTGGGTTGCGCCTTGCGGCTGCTGCCTGCCCCAAGGATGTCGTCGTAGTCTGATTCCTCATCGGACGAGTCGTCGCTGGACTCGGAGTCGCTGTCGCCTGATTCGGAAGCCTCGACGTCGAGGAAGCCGGTGCCCTGGTCTTCGACCTCAGAGTCGACGGAGTTTTCCGAGTCGGAGGCATCGTTTTGCACGAGGCCGACGCCCTCGGTGGCGGATTCGTCTGATGAGTCTGCCATTTTTCGTGGGTGCTCTGATGAAAAATGAAGGCGTTTGGTCGTTTGTTGAAAGGTTTTTGGTTGGGCTGGCTTGTCGTCCGGGTGAGACGCGGTTAGGTCGTTGGCGCCGGGCGCCAAGTGGAAATTTGTCACGCGCTGACAGTGCCAGAACACGTGACCCTGATGGCCTTCTTCTCTCCCTTGCTTGCCCCACACCTGGCACCGGCCGGCTTCATTCTCTCAGTGCATTCATAGGCTCACTCACTCAATTTGCCCGAAAGCACATTCATGAGATTCTTCAATGCATCGTTTGTAACTCATGCAATACTCATGCTGATCCGAAGAAATTTGCACCAATGAGGCCAAAAGGCAGCATATCTGTTGACATCTTGAAGCTTGTTAGTAAAAATCTCCCTTTCTGGAACATGAAAAGATAATGAAAAAACAAACCGGGTAGAGAAAACCAAATCTTCATGAAAGCATTTGAAATAAGCGCTGTGAAATTTCATCTCGAATGACTTTGCAGAGTTTTGCACGAGCCTCAAGCTGCTGAAGCAGCAGGTCGCTCGTTAGGTGTTACTTCAGGCCTGAGACCTCATCGTCTTTCTCACTAGGTACCTTCAACGCACCCAGCATGCAAGTGACTTTAATAAGTTCTTATTGTTCCGCTCAAACGTCTGCTAATCATAATGCAAGTTCTACGAAATAGCCTCAGATGAGTGCGTCATTCTTCAAATGCTCTAGTATCAAATGCTTTCACGTGTCTCTGCGAGATTACAACGCCTCAGCAACAACGCCCAAAGTCTTGGCCGCCTCCGAGAGGCGATCCTCCTTCCACTCAACGCTCTCCTCCGGCAGCACGAAACTTGAGTATGCCTCACCCGCCGTCTCAATCAGGGTCTCAATGCCAGGGCCGTTTGTAAATACAATAGCCCTTACAAACCGGGTGCCAAAATCGAGCGTAAAGGCCTGTCCGACAGAAACCAGGAGAGTCTGTCCCTCGCGGACCTCAGTCCATTCTCCAGACTCTTTCAGCTTGATCTTGAGCACGCCCTCCTGGACACAGAAGCAGTGGTCCACCGTGGGGAACGTCAGCCACCTTGAAAGAGGCGACTTCTCGTACAGCTTAGAGGACTCGAGGCTGGTAATGGCGAACTTGCCGCTGCACTGCGAGGCATTGATGAAAGGACGCGACAGAACACCGCCGAGGATGTATCTAGGGCCGGTGTTCGCACGGAGGAAGTAGGGCTCCAGAGGTCCCGGGAGGACGTTTTCGCTCTCCTGCCAGTCTGAGACCTCGGGAGGCGTGTAGTTGCGCTCAAAGTGAACATCAAAGCGGTCCTTTGCGGCCATGACCTTGGGGATCAACAAGCTCTTAAGGTCGCGGTTGTCGTTTTCTGGTACGATAACGCCCTTGTATGTCTCTCCGACATAGCGGAAGAAGTCTACCCAGTCACCAGGAGCGACCAAGCCCAAGGTTTCCGTGTGAGGGCCCAGAAGCTCAGGGTTGTGAATAACTTTCTGTTGAATGTTAGAATTCAACCTCTACGCAGAATTGATTTCAGGAATGTGACTCACAGGGGGAACATAGGCAAAGTCACCAGGACCCATGATCCTGCACTTGTCGCCGTTCCATAGCTTCAAGTAACCCTTGGTCACGAGGAAGACGTCGTGAGCTTCCGCGTGCCAGTGGAAACCGGGCGCATCGGAAAGGACAGCTCCGCTGGAGAAGACGGCAATACCACCGTTTGTCTGTTTTGAAGATGCAAGAATTCTGAAAACACCCTTGCTGCCGGGGATCGTGACGCGCTCGCCCTCGAGCTGGTCAATGATGTACGTCGTCCTGGCGTCAGGGGGAGTCGAGTGGACCGGAATGCTCATGTTGGGCAGTAGTGTCCAATAATCAGGGAAAGAATGCCTGTTTGCGGACGAGGTATGTGTGGGGTGCAAGGGGGCGGCAAGCTGATTGCACGTGTGAACGAGTTGATGAGGGGATGAGGGGTTGAGGGGTCAATTGTTGTCGATGAGTGCTTTTGGGGCGCTTGTCGAGCCTCTTTTTAGAGCTGCGTTTCCCCGCGTTCGCAACGGCGCTGGAGCCGAAATAATGAGGGGACGCCCACCGGGACCACATTGCCTTGTTGGCCTCTAACGTCGGGATATCAGAGCGGCGTCTGCGGATGCCCGGAATTCCCGACAGTATCCGGAACACCCGCGGAACATCCGCCGTCTCGAGGGTGAGTTGCCACAACTCCACACCCTGGAATGCCGGCTCGGAGGGAATTCTCACGAAGGTCCACAAGCAACGATTTCTTGTTCAGCTATCTAGGTTGTCCCCGCCGCACTATTACCCCGGACTTTAAGACTGGATTTGTATCCGATATTTCTCTTTGCAGAAAGACTCCCGTATTGAAGCCAAGCACGACAGCAGCCATGACGACCCAGCCCCCCTTCCGCGCAGTCTACAAGACCATAGGTCAGCAAGAGATCGATGTGGATGTCTACTTGCCCCCGCCGGCGGAGGCCAAGGCATCGCATCCGGTTGGTATGTTGTGACCCATGACTGCCTTTTGCAGCACCAAAGGAGTTTCTTCGGACTAATGTGGGCCTTGCCAATAGTCATCAACATCCATGGAGGAGCCTTCATGCTAGGCTCGTCAAAGATGGTCAATAGAGACCAAGTAAATGACTGTCTCAGCAGAGGATGGATCGTCTTGGCTCCTAATCACCGGCTCTGTCCCCAAGTCTCCTTGCTCGATGGGCCCATGAGGGACTGCCGTGACCTTCTTGCTTGGGTGTACGATGGCAGTCTGCAGAAGGCCGTTGATACCCAAGCTGAGGGATCATATGCTATTGACACCGATCACGTATTTGCATTTGGAACCTCATCCGGCGGCACACTTTCGCTTAGCTTGGTAAGTTCATGCAGCTCAGAACTAGACTTCAGAGGGACCAATTCTCCAGATTAGCGAAGTGACACATGGCGCTGACGAGATGAACCAACTCAGGGGTTTGGGGTTCCCCGTCCTGTCGCTGGAATTTACGACATGTATGGCCCAAGCAACTTTACAGATCCGTTCTGGACAAAGAAGCTCGAACACGTCGCCGCTAGACTTCCCTCAGGACTTACTGAGGAGTTCTTAAACAAAGTGTTTGACGAGGACCCAGTGCCTATTCTGGGTGGCGTTTCCCTCGAAGGACAGGCCCCGGGTCCTCCGAACTTTGACGACCCGCGACAGGCGTTTGCCATGACGCAAATCGCCAATGGCAACGTCATGAACACGATAGTCCCATCCCATAATTGGGACGAGGTTGACCCCATAAGAAACATCAGCGCGTCCTTCCCGCCGACGTTCATTGTCCACGGGCAAGCGGATACAATGGTCTCCATTGATCTAAGCAGGGCGCTGTTTAAGACTCTCCAAGAAAAGGGGGTCAAATCTGACTTGAGGGAAATTCCGGGCGAGGAACATACCTTTGCCGCCAAGATGAAGGTCGGATCTGAGACTTGGAACCTCCAGCGTGAAGGCTTTGACTTCCTTGAGAGCTTGATCAAATGATCCAAATGCATTCAATTCATGAGCTAGTTTGATACAAAATAAGTTAGCTGCATCATGCGTTCTTCGTGCCAGCAACCCGGTTCGGAGATCCGGAGAGTGAGACACTGAATTTCTTCTGGTGGTTGTCAGTCAGCCTCTACACTAGCATCGTGATCGCATGGGCTAGCAAAACACACCGTCTTGTGTCGTGATTGGCTCCTGCCATCCGAAGTGTTATTGAAAGTCAATTGGCATTGACAGCTTAGGCTTGCGAATACAAAGCAACTCCTGCCCGGATGTCCCGTGCTGCATGTTCTCGGTGCAATGTGTAGCGGGTGGCTGAGGACCCAGCATTTTGACACAAGCCCATTTTTTTCGGCCTGGTGGAAGTGTGCGATCACCTGCGCAGTTACGTGTCAAGCGTGACAGAACCAAGCTTTGCCCCAATCTGAAGTGCCGATGGCCAAAGTGGCTAGTAGCATCCGGGGACCCCGCCACCCTAAGCGTTGGAGAAGAGTCTGGGGTGCAGTCGGGACTTCCGGCCGCGAGCCCGGATAGATCCCGGCCAGCGTCGCAGGAACCTGCTTGTCGAGTCGGTGAACTCTGATATAATCCTCCGTGGTCAATCAGCCCATCAACACCTGGCCATCGACTGACAATCTAGATCTGTCAACAACCACATCGGAAGGTCCAGTCGCCGACGCTCCGTCTGAACCACAGATCTTCACAGCAATCCTTGACAGATACCCCGATACCCTTTGTGCATTGCGCAGGAACGTAAAGCACAACCGAACCAACACACCGGGTCGGCGTTACTACTCACCCGACGACAACGCGGTCGAAGCCGCCTACTAGGCGAACGACTCTGAACGATGGACTCTCCTCGCGACGAGGTTCACGACGTCAAGGTGGATGTCACGCACAATGAAGAGGCCCTTCGGGAGGCCGACCGCCAGATGAGTCCGATGGAATGTTTGCGTCGGAATCCAAAGATCGCTCTTTGGACTCTGTACGCCAACAGTAAGTAGTTCGTCCGATCACGGTTGACCTGCAACTCTAACAATGACAACTCAGTTGGATCTTGTCTGGTTGGTTTCGAGAACCTGGCGTTGTCAGTATGCTTGGCCATGCCGGCATTCCAGTAAGTGAACAGCGCAAACTCTGCTTCGCAAGCATGATTGAGCGTTTCTAACAATGAGGGTTTTTCAGGATGACCTTTGCGTCTGAGGTCAATGGAGCTCTCATCATTCCGGCGTACTGGCAGTCAGCATGGAACGCCATGTACAACACAATGATGTTCTTTGGATCGTTCACTGCTGGATACGTTCAAGATTGGTTCGGTCGTCGGGCGGTCATGGCGATGGCGATTGTCGTATCCGCTTGCGGTATTGCGATCAGCTACGTCTCCGAGACCCCATCTCAGTTCCTGGGAGGCAAGATCGTCACTGGATTTTCTGTCGGTCTCTTCACCGCGACCACCCAGACGTATGTTTCTGAGATTGCTCCTCTGCCCATCAGAGGCATTGCGCTCTCGGTCAACACCATCATGCTGGTAAGTGTCTCTCACAAGCAGGCGCCAGATGGCAGCCATGTTAATCAATGACGAACAGAACTTGGGCTTCCTCATCGCCATCTCATCCAGCTTCTCCCGAACCGCGATCATGGACAAGTCGGCTTTCCGCGTTGTCTTCGCCGCGGCCTGGGCATTCCCCGGAATCCTCGCCCTGGGCTTGCCCTTCATGCCCGAATCACCGACATGGCTGGTGCTTAAGAACAAGCACGACAAGGCTCGCCGGTCTCTGGAGCGACTTTCCGGCGCCACGGAAGACATCGACACCCGCTTGAACCAGATCATTGAGAACGTCGAAGCCGAGCGCCGTCTGGCCGCCGAGAAGGCCTCCTTTGTCGATTGTTTCAAGGGAACCAACTGGCGCAGAACTCGCATCATTCTCATCTGCTTCTACATTCCCCAGGTCACCGGCGCGGTTCTCTCGTCCAACGCCCCGTACTTCCTCAACCAGACCGGTCTTGACAGCCACACCGTCCTCATGCTGGTGCAGGTCGGCATTGCTGTTGGTCTCGTTTCTGCCATCCTCAACGCCTTCTCGATGATGAGGTTCCGCCACCGCCCGCTGATGTTCTTTGGTATCACCGTGTGCGTCTGCTTGTACCTCACCATGGGCATCGCCGCGGCATTCCCGAAGACGAACGCGTCGCTCCTGACCATCGGTGTGGCTCTCATTTTCACATCTATCTCCTACGGACCTGCGGTCGGTGCATCCATGGCTGTTGCAGGCGAGGTCTCCGCCTCGAAGCTCCGTGCCAAGTCCCTTGGCATTGGCGTGGCCTTCTCCTCCATCGTCAGCACCATCTGGACCATCATCCTACCGTACCTCTTCAACACCGATCAGCTCAACATGGGCGGTCACATTGGGTGGATCTTCTTTATTATGGGCGTTCTCATGCTGGTGATCCTCTACTTTGATGTGCCAGGAACCAAGGGCCGCACGTTTGAGGAGCTGGACCAGATGTTCGACATGCGCATCTCGGCGCGCAAGTTCGAGAGTTACCAGTTCAACGAGGGGCCGGTGGATACCAAGTGAAGCGGGTAGAAAACAGGGGGTCCTGTTTTGAGTTGTTTTTGTTCATTTTAGCTACGAAAGTTACGAAACTGCGTTGGGTAGTGCTGGAAACTCTTTTTGCGGGTCTCGCTGCAAGCTCCATCAGCTTTTCTCCATTGTGATTGCTCGTGCATATGACTTGGATCACAAAGATCGTCCGCTTTGTAACATTGGGGACTTTTGATTTCGGCCCTACTCGCGGGCTGCAACGTCGGCGGCAAAGCCGACGTAAACAAACCGGAATTGCCGGCTGCGAGTGGAGTCGGCCATGACTCCTTAGTCTCTATTGGAGGTTTAGTAAGCGGAACAAGGGGCTTGCCAGAGCTGGCCAGGAGCTCAAGGTCGCATTTGTTTCTGGCATTGAATCTCAGAGTGAAGATCGATACTACTAACATGGATTTCATCTGATATGGAAAAGAGAACAGGACACAAAAATCCTGAGTTGCCCTATATTGCAACGGGTTATGGTTGCTGCCCCTGAACGCGTTGGATGAACACCCCTTTTCGCGCACGATTCAGCTCAACATTATTCGCGCATGACCGGCCCCCTCGTGACTGAAGCAGGCTGAGCAAATAACTCAACAAGACGGCTCGGCCAGATCCCCCATGCCATCCACTTCAAAGCCCGTCAAGCCCGCCCCCGGCCTGAGGAGGAGCTGACCAATCTTACCAATAAACACACATGCAATTCCGTTGAAGAAGGGTTCCGCGATCGCAACCTTACCCCACAACACGCCGTCCCCGCATCGTCTTGCCGTCTTATGCCGCTTGTCTTGTGCGGGGAAGTGGAGAATTGATCGTTCCCACGTTCCTGCGGCAGAGCTGCGTTTCGGATGCGCGGCGGGCGTCGACAGCTTCTGCACTTTCTGCATACAACCACAAATCTCTGTAGCACCCCCCGTCTTCCCACACTTGCGAATCGAAGAGTGGCCCAGATTATCAAGCGAAAGACGGGTGTTCCGATACTGAAGTCATTCACGTACGACGCGCAGTCCCACGGGCGGGCAGTTCTCGCTGTTTTCAGCCGCTACAGAGGATGGATTCTGCAGAGGCCCAGCGCACGACGCAGAACTCTGGCATCAAGGTCCGCCGACCCCGGGCCGCTCGAGCGTGCGATCTCTGCAGGGCGAAGAAGAACAAGTGCGATGAGCTGTATCCTTGCACCTATTGCAAGAGTGAGTTTTTTGCGCGATTTTTAATCCCGCAATTGACTTGTTGTGGCGACTAATGTGAAAATTCAGACCGCGGCGCAACATGTGTCTACAAAGGCCAAGACATGTCGAGAAGGCATTACACGCCAGAGTACGTATCTTATCTGGAGTCTTTCCAGTCTAACGGAAGCTTTGCTGATCCTCGACAGGTATGTGAGACAACTTGAAGAACAGGTCAAGAGCCTCTCAGCTCTCGCAGAGTCTCAGAGCCAGAAGGCTCAATCGACAGACGACAACGCCTCGGTATCCGCAACTATTCCCGAAATAGCCGAGGGTTTCTCACCGGCAGACTGCAGCCTCCAACGGCGCCCATCACGAAGCACGACTGTCGGCTCACCGTCAAACGCACGTTCGAGGAATGCTGCGGGTCAAGAGGTTTCCGGCGTCAACCGACACACTCGGAACGTAGAGTTCTACGGAAGCTCGTCGTCAGTCGCTCTTCTGTCACATGTGCAGAGAACCGGTGAAGAGCCTGTGGTATCAAACGACTTGGACTCAGATGCGGGAACTTTGCTTTCAAATCTTCACAATCCCGCCTTTTCATCGCCAGCAGCCGATCAGCCCCAAGGAGGACCAGCACACACCGGTGAGGAGAGGTCGTCTGCGAGGCCTGTAACGCACTACCCACAATGCCGACACTTTTTGCAAAGTTTCTTTTCTAGTATACACTATGTGCATCCTATCCTCGACAAGAAAATCTTCTTCGACCGCTGCGAGATGATTTGGTCGAACCAAGAAGCTGCGCGGACGCCATCGAGTTTCATCGCTTTATATTACAGCATTCTGTCTTTGGGCGCCCTTATCGGAGTGCGGGAGGATGAGCCCATTGACGGGATCGAGAACTTGCAATGGAGCAGAAGGTTCTTTGACGAGGCAAAGAGACGGTGTGATCAACTTGGAATGGTGACTGATCTGGAAATGGTTCAGTGCTACTTCTTTTTGGTGAGTTGATTCGGACGCCAGCTGGTTGTGTGAGGAGAACGCTGACAATTGTGAAGGCGAAAGTTTGTCAAAATGAGTTGAACGCGCATTGTGAGTTATTTCATGTGTGGATGAGTCTGCGTTGTTTGAGCTGATGAGTGCCGATCAGGGTCATATATGTACGTTGGACTCGCTGTCAGAACAGCACTGGCAATGGGTATCAACCGCGAACCTGGCCCAGGATGCAAGAAAGATCCAGCAGAGCTGAGAGCAGAAACGAGAACGTGGTGGTAAGAGAAACCGATGCTCTGCAAAAAGTTCGAATGCTGACAAAATCCCAGGGGTTTATACTCATTAGAGACGTAAGACTTCAAACTCAACAATCATCTCGACAACTACTGACGTGAAAAAAAGCGAAATGTCTTTCTCAATGGGCAGACCTGACACGTTAGGGGCCGACCTCTACCACAACCGACAATTCCCAATTATTGGTGAAACAGAAAACGAGTACTCATCTAGCTCAGACCTCGTGGATCCTCCATCTTGCGCCATCATCAAATCGATGGTGGACTACTCAAAGGTCATCAGAAGCATCTGCCTGGGAATCTACTTGCCAGAAACGACGGTGCCAAGGACGGTTACGCTGGCGCATCAGATTGATCAAGACTTGCAAAAGTGGGTTGAGAGTCTTCCGGAGCCGATTCGGCCGACAGGGACGGTTCAGCCGCGCTCACTGAAGAGCGCCAAGGAGGCTCAGTGGATGAAGAGGCAAAGACTTGTCTTGACTATGCGTAAGCTGTTTGCCATGTATCCTCACCCGTGACACCGCTAACTCGCGTGGCAGGCTATCTCAACTTGAAGATTCTCCTCTTCGGGTCGATTCTTCTCACATCGACATCTGCAGAGCGTGCATCAATCCCGGGGTCTCACGAGGGCATTCAGACGTGTCTTGAATCTGCCAAGCAAACGATTGAAATCATCTACCAGACGTATCAACATCATGATTTCTTCCGCACCTGGTATGGGTTCCCTCACTATGAACATCGCATGAAGGCTTGGCTGACAGCCGCCATAGGTTCTACAACACAACATACACGGTGTTTGCGGCTTCAATGATTCTGGTGTATGTCACTCAAGAGGCTGTAGAGTCGGAGCTGCAACCTCTGCTTAAACTTGTCGGCATGGCCATAGAAATTCTCGAGACCATGGACGAGTGCGTAGTGGCCCTGAGGTCGGCCAAGCTTCTGCATAAAGCTATTGAGAAGGCGGAGAAGAAATTCTCCGCATCAACACCGTCCGCGGCAATGATACCAGCCATGCCACCCGCGGATGCAATGTTGCAGCTGAACCATTACTGGGGCCCCTTGAACATCCTCGACAATGAGATGGACTTTGGATTTGCGATGCAGTTTGCGGATTTCGAGGGGACGAATTCGCTGTTCATGGCGTTGGATGATCAAAGGACCATGTAAAAGAATCGAGAGATATGACCTAATGACGAGCTGCTTGCGGGATCCAGTTCATCTTCTTTCTTTCACCCGTCGTCGGTATAAACCTGCCCCAATGATAGGGAAACCGTGTGACAGAGGCTGCCTTCGACTCTGGTGTTTGTCAACAAACAATGCCGATACAAACATCACAACTGCCGTGAGGCGCAGGAACGTGGACACGTCTTCGTCTTTAAGTAGTAAATGGCCCGCTCGGAGATTCCTACGATGCTGGACATCCGAATCATGCCCCAAAAACAGCAGCAACCGGCGGAAAAGCCGAAGCGGGGGCGGGATGTGGGGGTCTTTGCTGATGAGATCTCATGCGGGGAAGTTCCGGGGTCGGAATGTCGGAGGCATCGGGGGGCTGTGGCTCCGACTGGTGCATCGTCACATGGGGTAGCTAGCTGGAAGCTCCGATTTCACGATGTTTTGGTGGCGGGACATAACAATCCAATTTGAAAACTTCATCCTGTTAAAGATCAAAGCGCCGTCCGTCTTGAAAAGTCCAGTCGTCACGAACAGAAACACAACCACAACTACAATCACAACATTTCCACGCCTGCATTGAACCCCTCCAACTTCAATTGACTCCAAACTTTCCACATTTTTCTCCAAAATCACGATGGGGTCGCAGGTTGACGAGAGGGACTTCACAGCCCTCCTCTCCGAACTGACGTTGGAAGAGAAGGTCGCGCTTCTCTCAGGTCGTGACTTCTCCACAGCAGCAGGTGTTGCGCGCCTCAACATTCCTCCCATCAGAGTAAGCATGCTCTCATGACGTCTCAAAATGTGTCAAGAGACGGAAACTGACTATCTCGCTTCCAGGTCGCAGACTCCATTGCTGGGGTTCGCCCGTCAGGAATCACAGCCGATCTCACGACCGCATGCTTCCCCAATACGGCCTGCCTGGGCTCAACATGGGATGCTGAGCTTCTGGGCCGCATGGGTGAAGAGATCGCCAACCAGGCCCGCCTCAAGAGCGCGCAGATGGTCCTGAGCCCGACAATCAACATCCATCGCGATCCTCGCGCCGGACGCAACTTCGAGTGCTTTAGCGAAGACCCTCTGCTTTCTGGCCAGCTTGCTGGCGCGATCACCAACGGCATTCAGAAGCATGGATTCGGATGTTGCCCAAAGCATTTCGTGTGTAACGATTCCGAGACGCTGAGACACTTTTACGATGTGCAGGCGTCAATTGATAGCCGCGGACTGAGGGAGGTCTACCTCGCGGCGTGGCAGCATTTGCTGAGAACGTCGAATCCGGCTGGCATCATGACTGCGTATGTTCCTTTCTCCCCTCAACAGAGATCTTCACAATGCTAACAGCAAGTGTGTGACAGGTACAACAAGGTCGACGGCACATTTTGCAGCGAACACGAGCCATTAATCGAGCGCGTCCTGCGAAAAGAATGGGGTTTCGACGGAATGGTCATGAGCGACTGGTTCGCCGTCCACGACGTGGTTGCGCCAGTCAAGGCTGGTCTGGACCTCGAGATGCCTTTCCCGGTGTTTAGAGGCGGGCGGCTGGTCGAGGCCGTCAAGTCTGGCAAGGTGTCTGAAGCAGAGATCGACGCCAGAGCTCTCAAGATGCTGGAGCTTCGCAACCGCACGAGGACAGTCCACGGCGAACGGCCGGAGAGGTCTGAGATAACCGAGGAAACCAACCAGATCGCGCGAGAGCTTGCGGCAAGCGGCATCGTTCTTCTGAAGAATACCAACGAAGCTCTTCCCTTGGATTCTTCAAAGACGAACAAGGTCGCCTTGATCGGAGAGTATGCTGGTGCGCCCGTTGTAACTGGCGGAGGTAGCGCTTCGTGTACGCCGCAGTATCGACACTCTCCTCTCGAGCTGCTGAAGAAGGCCTTCTCCGGCGAGAAGGTGCAGTATGCCGCTGGTGTGCGAACGAGGCGCGTGATTCCATTTGCGCCTGCATCAAAGCTTACCGCGCAAGACGGACGTCACGGTATCGATGTCAAGTACTTCAACGATGACACTCCGGAGCCAATCTTGACCGAGTTCCAGGAGAAGGCAGATGTCTGGATGTTGGGCGAGTTCAAGGCTGGTCTCAAGGTTCCGGGATCTCACATCGAGATCACCACCAAGTTGACACCGGAGAGCACCGGAGAGCACACGCTGGCTGTCCGAACTACCGGAGAATACTCCCTCACAGTGGACGGCAAGGAGGTTCTCTCCGGGCCGCAGAACAACATCGCAACGGAGCAGTTCATCTTCAACCACATCAAGCTCGAGACACGCGTGCAACTTGCCATGAACGCGGGGCAAGCCTACGATATCAAGCTGAGCATGAAGTCACGGGACGCTCTAGTGAGAGGCGAGCCCACGCCCTACGCTGCATCCCTCTGCTTCGAGGAGTATCGATCAGATGAGGCAGGCATCGCCGAGGCAGTCGAGCTCGCGAAGACATCAGACGTCAGCATCGTCTATGCCGGCCGCAACGAGCAGTACGAGTCTGAAGGCTACGACCTGGAAGACATCCGCATGCCAGAGAACCAAGCCTCTCTGATCAAGGCCGTTGCCGCCGCGTCCAAGAAGACCGTCCTCGTTCTTCACTGCGGCAACCCCATCGACGTCAGCGCCGTGGTCGACGACGTCGACGCCATTCTACTCGCACATTTCCCCGGACAGGAGGGCGCGCAAGCGACGGCGGACATCTTGACAGGCAAGACGAACCCCAGCGGACGCCTCGCGACCACGTGGTTCAAGACGTTGGAGGACGTGCCCAGCTTCGGCGACTTCCCGGCCACCAAGACCGAGGACGGCAGCATCGCGCTGAAGTACGCGGAGGGCCTGGGTGTGGGTTACCGGCACGCTGAGGCGGCAAGACGGGCGCGGTGGGCTTTCGGCTACGGCTTGTCGTACACGTCGTTCGCGTACTCGGACCTGGACGCGACCGTCTCGGAGGAGTCGGGTGTAGCCAAGCTGAAGGCGACTGTCAAGGTCACCAACACTGGCTCCCGCGCAGGCAAGGAGGTGGTGCAGCTGTTCGTCAGTCCCGCGAAGGAGACCTCCGTCTGGAGACCCGAGCGCGAGTTGAAGGCTTTCACGAAGGTGGATCTGCAACCGGGGGAGTCTACGGTGACGACGTTGGAGGTTGATCTGAAAATCGCCTGCAGTTACTGGGACGAGGCGCAGAAGGCTTGGAGGTTGGAAAAGGGGATCTATGGCGTTCTTGTTGGAGATCGCCGAGCCGAAATCTCGGTTGCGGCGGAATCGGTCTGGAACGGGTTGTAAGAGGGACAAGGGATAGAAAATTCGCCTCCTATTCTAGACTTCGTTCGGGTTCTTGTGGCATACTTGGCGACTGGAATCATGGTGCTTTCCAATTATCATCTATCAAGTTAGTCGAAATTACATGAGTTGACGACACTTCACTGCTAGTCTTCCTCGCTCTTGTCGCCGTTCTGAGGCGGGAGTTTCTCCATTGCCGTATTAGTGACTCGCTAGAACCGATCCAAGACATTGAACGCTAAGTGGCTCAAGCCACCAGATTTCCGTGTCTAGACCTTCGCATCCAAGACATTAACCCGGGGATGAAGAGGCTAATTCAACAATCTCCCTGATGTAAGGATAACAGTGCCGTCAATGTGACATATCTTGGCAGACTTTACGGATAAAACTGTGTCTATCGCGAATGCGAATTTGTCGTATTTCAGCTTAGACCTCGTTTGCAGCCTCACCCTGCGCATCCTCTTGCGATATTGGGTCATCGTCCGGTGATCAGAACACTTCCGTCTTCTTTTCCGTGTAGGTGTGCGAGGTGCGGGACGAATATCCTCAAAGAGCTAGGGGTGCGGATGGACCTTCTCTTTCAACCTTGCAAGACAAGCTCTCTCTGATTCGGTCCGCATTCGGGGAACACCTCTGTCGGGGAAGACACTTCAACTTTGATAGTTCAGGCGGTGGAGTTGGAGCATCTGGCCCGCGCTCGTTGACATCACTTGAACGAAATCAACTTTTTTCTTGTGTCAAGGCCGCAGTCAAACTCATGGGTGTCCCCCTCAGACAATGTCTTCACGCGATGGGCCTAACCTCAAAGCATACACGCCACCAAAGCAAGCCACCGGCTCGTCAAAACATAAGCGCTGATCCCAGTTCCCAACTTAGTTTCCATGTCTGAGACCTCTCCCATTTTCGGCTGACAAGCCCGAAATGCATGCCAGCCACGCTTCTCTAGCTCGTGCGTGCGCCCTTTCCCCCTCACGGATTCCACCTGAATGGGTGGGAAGACAGAGAGCAGGGGCCAATGTTTTGAGGTTACGAAGCTTAAGCAATACGGGAGTCAAAACTTATGCAGCCAATGGCCCAATGGCACTCCTGTTTTATCGAACAAGGCAGGTCACTCCGGATGATCTGCACGCCCGTTCGAGTACTCGAGGAGCATGGGCCATGCTGCCCAGGTGGACGAGTTGTCCATGCCTCCAGGCCCGTGATATCCTTGCGATGTGAGGTTTTACAGCGAAGCTTAACAGCTTCGTCTGCGTGGTCGTGACTCCTGTTTCCCGCCCATCCCTGGCAACGGACAGGGAACAATCCCTTCGGCTTTATCCTCACGAAACGGAGTTTAGTTCCCTTCCCACACCACTGCAGCCTCTCCAGAAGCTCTTCAGCTCGTCAGCTTGGTTTCGTGTTGCCAGCCAACAGCGAAGCCTCTTGGCCTCTTTGGGCCTTGGGACGGGGCGTCAACAGGGTGTCTTGGCCAAGATGGTGTAGCGCCTCCGCCCCTTGCATTCCTCTTAGCACCTTAGGGCTGGATGATGCCGGGGTACCGCTTTGACTCTAACGACACTCTAAATCGCTCGCTAGCTTGTCCTTCATGCTTGGGTCTGATATTTTGCCCAAGTCAGTCCGCAGCATCTGCAGGTCTTTTCTTCTCCTCCCACCCAACGGTGACCCGCAGTCCGACGTTGGCTTGCGCATGAGAGCGACGGCCAGACATCAACACCGCGACACCGACGGCTGTCCGCAGACGATGTGAATTGGAAGAATCGACGTCGTGAGCGAAGAATCTAGTCTTTGACGGCTTGGTACTCGATGATTACAAGGCATTTTGGCGACGGCCAAGGCTCGGTCGCGAATCGATATGGATATGGAATCTTTCAACGTCGACGTCATTGAGGATGGCGGCCCGCCCGGTTTGGCGCCCCAGGGGCAGTCTGTCATATCTTGTGCAGTGGCATCGGCTGTTCTTTCGGGGATCATTGTCGGCTTGAGATTCTATGCGCGTCTATCACCGGCGCGACTTTTGGGGTGGGAGGATGCGTGGATTCTGATCGCATGGGTACGCTGAAATCTACACCAAAGACACCAAGGATCGATGACAATCCGCTCGAGCTTTGAGGGAAGCGGTGTTCACTGAAAAGGAATCACAAGACTGACTGCGATATGGAATAGATTTGGTCCGCCTGTCAATCCGCTGGGATGGCTATTCGTAAGAAGCCTGAGCATCCTGTTCCTCTGTCGTTGCTAATTATCTGACAGAAGCAATCACTGGTATGGGCGAGCGATACGAGACGCTGAGTGTGCACCAACAGCAGACTTTCTTCAAGGTAAGGAGAATTGACTAGTCCAGCCTATGAGTCGTTGAAGTCGAGTCACGCTGACGGTTAGTCATGAGTAGTGGTCGTACATTACTATCATTTTCTACAACCTCGGATTGGCCTTCGTAAAGGTCTCTATCCTGCTGCTGTACCTGCGGGTACTACGAGACCTCAATTATCGCAAAGCGTGCTACATTGCACTATCTCTCGTCGCGGTAGTCTCCACATGGACGGTTTTCTCATCGGTCCTGTTTTGTCTACCCTTTGAGAAGAATTGGAAACCAAGGTCTGTTGAGTTCTGTTCACCTGAAATGCGGTTGTTGTAGTGCTGACCAGAACTACAGTGCACCTGGGAAATGTCTTGACAGGGGAGCCACCTGGTTTGCCAACGCCGCCATCAACATATTTACCGATTTTGTGATCCTCATCCTCCCCTTGCCGATTCTTCCAAAGATAAAACAGCCCCGCCAGCAAAAGATCAGTTTGTACCTGATCTTTGCACTCGGGTTCTTGTAAGTACCGGTAATTTTGTCATGATAACCGAGCGTGTGATCTAACCTGCCATACCAGTGTTTGTGTAGTGTCAATATTGCGCATTCCGTCACTAGCTTCGGCCTTCAAATCGACCGACCCGACGTTCGACAGTCCAGGCATAGCTGAATGGTCAATTATTGAGTTGAACACGGCCATCGTCTGCGCTTGCCTAATCACATTAAAACCCCTGGCAAGACGCTTCTTCCCTCGACTTCTGGGATCTACAAATCACGATGTCGGGAGAGAACGTGGGCCGGGCTCGGGGCCAGGAGACGGTGTTCCCGCCACAGTCGGGTCCAAGGAATCGGGACAGAAAGCGAATCACGCAAGGCACGTCTCAGATGGAAGTGAAATACAGCTGAACCACGACACATTTGGGGCGAGATCCACGAATCACACTCATGGCTCGCGTCATAGCATTGTGGAGTCGTCGGATTTGGAGTTGGGACTGAAGTCGATACCACTGGACGACGATCCGGCGCCGATGAAATGATACCAGATTTGATACCAGTTAGCGTAATGAGAAAATCAGTTTCAATGTTTCGTTTCAGTCTCATGGAACTTTCATTGAGTCCGTCAACCCTTTTGAAAGTGGTTTGAATTCGAACTCTTTCGAAGCTTGTTGTCAACGAGACCGAGTACGTCGGTACAGACTTTCCGCTTTGGGTAATCAATCATCGAACGAGGCGATTTTCGCCTGAAGCATCAACGGTCACCAGAGTACGAACTTGCAGTTACATTGTGACGTCCCATTAGCCTTAAGCAGATTGACCGAGGAGCTATCCGTCCACCAGCCCCTGTCACGATCCCTGGGCCCCGATGCAGAAGACTTCGTATTCCTCCTATCGCCCACGCTAGTCCCGTGTTTGCCATTAAACGGCCCCTGTTCCCCCATATTACTTCCCTTCAAACAGCCTCTCAAGGCGCAAGTTCGTCCGGCAATGCAACGCTAGTGGATCTTCCCGTGTTAAAAACAACGAACCATCACAAATTGCATGATGCGCGCTGGACCTCATTGGGCAGGTGTCAAAAACAACATGCCGTGCTTCTTGGCGACGAGATGGCATACTTCAACGGCGACTTTCGCGCTCTCGCGATGGCGGGAAGTTTGGCTCGCCATGTGCCTTGCACACGCTCACATTCGTTTTCGTTTACCACGCATCAACCATCATGCGCGCGGAAGCAGCCCTCCTCGCGGCGCTGTTCAGCACGGCTAATGCGCTGCATCAATTCGCGCCTCGCTCACTGAACGAGAGCACTGCTAGCGATGCGACGCCCAAGAGATACATCGTCGAGCTGAAGTCACGCGCACACGGATCGCGCGTGGCTTCCAAGGCTTCGTCTGGGCTGCCCGGGCTTCGAGTCGTGAAGCGGTTTGACTCAGACATCTTCCCCGGAATCGCCATCGAGTGCGACCATGGCTGCACGGCCGAGTCTATCCAGAGCTCGCTTGATGGGTCCGATGACGAGCCCGTTGTCGCCTCCGTCTACAAGTCTCAGATGTTGCAGCTGCTCCCGACCGTGGAAGGCGAGTCATTCAGCGACGATGCGGCTGCGGTGAACTACTCGGTCCACGGCCTCACTGGCGTTCAGAACCTACATGAGGACGGAATCCTGGGCGAAGGCGCCGTTGTCGCAATCGTTGACAGCGGTGTCCAGTACACCCACCCGGCTGTGAGTAGTAGACTTGCCGCTGTTCCCGACATGACTTGAGCTGATTTATAATTCTTCTACCAGCTCGGAGGAGGCCTCGGCGATAACTACACGGTGATCGGTGGTTACGATCTTGTCGGTGATGGTACGTGATAACCCCTCGGAGCCGGTGGGTTTGTGTGAAAGGCGCTGATTTAGAGTTGGCAGCGTGGCCTGACGCGCCCGCACAGCCCGACAACGATCCCATGGACAGATATGGACACGGCACGCACGTGGCCGGCATCATCGCGGGACAAAGTGATCAGTTGAGTCTTCGCCTAGAGTTATGCTAAAATTTAAACTAACTTGCCAAGATTCGTCGGGGTTGCACCCAAGTCCAAGCTTCTCTCATTCAAAGTCTTTGGCAGCAGCGGCTACTCGAATGAGGAGACCGTCATCGAAGGCTTCTTGAAGGCTTTCGACTCAGGGGTAAGTTGAATATTATAGTAAATATGTTGGTTGGATCGTAGCTAACAGCTCTTCCAGGCAGACATCATCAGCGCCAGCGTTGGCGAAGGCAGCGGCTTCACCAACAATGCCCTCGCCGTGGTGGCATCCAGGATCGTCGATAATGGCGTCGTCGTCGTTTTCGCTGCCGGCAACTCAGGACAGGATGGCCCTTTCTCTATGGCCAACGGCGCGTCAGGAAAGCATGTCTTGACAGTTGCCTCGAGCGATCCTGGTGTTTTCCCCGCGCAGGCCTTTTCCGCCAACTTCAACCTCGATGGAAACTCCAATAATACCGAAGTCGCTTACGTCCCTGGCTCAGGGTTCTTCCCGGATACCATCGTCGATTGGCCGATCAAGCCGATCACCTTGAACGCTTCCGTTGAGAACGATGCCTGCCAGCCTTTGCCCGCGGATACCCCTCAGTTGAACGAAACTGTAGTTCTGGTGAGACTTGGCGGTTGCACCGTGTCGACCAAGCATACCAATGTGGCTGCCTTTGGCGCGCAGTACATTCTCTTCTACAACAACCTGGACGTCTACCAGAGCCCTGTCAGTTCCAACCGCGTTGGTCTCACTGGGGCCATCGAGGGTAGCGCCGGCGAGGCTATCGTTTCCACCATCCTAGCCGGCGGCAACGTGACGGCTTCTTTCAATATTGACACAGCTCACTATGTCGGCATCCGGAACGCTGGCGGTGGACGGCCCGCTCTGTACTCCTCCTGGGGTAGTACCTATGATCTTGCTCTCAAACCCGATGTGTCCGGCCCGGGCACCAAGATTCTCAGTACCTACCCGACAAATGAGTATCGTGTTCTCAGTGGCACAAGCATGGCGACTCCTTACTTATCCGGCATTGCTGCTTTGTGGGTTGGCAAGTTTGGCGGAAGGTCGGCGCATAAAGATGACCCTGAATGGGCAAAGCGCCTCATCGCTCGCATCACGACCACTGCCCGCGCCGTCCCGTGGGCGGACTGGGCTACCAGCGTGACTGACTACGGCTTCTGGGCCCCAACTACCCAAGTTGGAGGCGGCCTTGTTGACGCCGAGAGAGTTTTGGGCTACACAACTGAGCTTAGCTTCGACGGTCGCAAGTTTGAGTTGAACGACACGGTCCACTTCACCGGCACGCACTCTGTCGATATCACCAACCAGGGCTCGGAATCAGTCACCTACAAGTTTTCACTTCAGGACGCGGGTGGCTACGAGTCCTATGAGCCTTCAGTGCCTGGACAGCAACAGACTTTTATTCCAGCAATTCCACTGTATGCGGAGATCAACCCCGTTAAGATGACTCCTGAGGTTGCCTTGCCTGCAGAAGTTGCTGTTGAACCGGGAGAGACAAAGACTGTGGAGTGAGTTTCCGCGATGCACTTCATTCCTCACAGACGGCTTACAAAATGGGCAGATTCACTTTCAAGGCACCTGAAGGTGTCAATGCCACAAAACTTCCAGTTTATAGCGGAAAGGTGCTCGTAAGTGGTAGCAATGGCGAGGAACTGGGTGTCCCGTACTTCGGTAATTATCTCCCAATCTGATAGAAGGCGTGTAACTCATGACCCGACAGGTGTCGCCACCGACTTGAGACAGACCATCGAAAGTGTCTGGGCATACGGTTGGAGCCTTCCAAACTTGGTTTCAGGAGTCAACGGCATCAGGCTTGAGCAAAAGTCCAAGTGAGATGAGCCATAACATTCACTTTCAAGGCAACGCTGACAGTTGATAGCTTCACATTCAACCTTACGCGGGAGGCCCAAGATTTCCCGAAGCTTACCACGCGCTTACTCTGGGGAACTGAGGAGCTCCGTTGGGACGTGAGTCGTCCAAGAGCTTTGAAACTCCATGAGATGTCACAAACTGATTACTGTCACATAGATTTTCCACGGTAACTACTCCGAAGCCGAATGGTCCTATCCTCCCGTAGTTGGGGAGAAGGGTTTCGTAGGCTCGGCCACCAGCTGGAACGGCACTGCAAGCTCTTCTTGGTTCATTCCTGGCGAGGACAGTGAAGATGACATCTTCTCTTTCCCTCTTTATACTCAACCAAATGGCCGAAATGGTATCTACTACTGGCTCGGAAGATATGCCAATGGATCCCAGGTGCTGCCTGGATCATACACGTGAGTCCCACTGACCATATTACATCTGAATATGAAATGCTGACTGTAGAAGTTTCCGGATCGCAGCTCTGCGGCCTTTTGGTGTACGCGAGGTCGCTGGGGACTGGGACATCTGGAAGACCCCCGCCATCACTGTGTTGCCAGGAAGCACATTTGAGGCCTAGTCGGGCTATGCCTTCAAAGAGCGTTTCATTGTGAGGACTCGAACTGAAGAAGGATTACTGTTCTCAAAATCATCAGCTTGTGTGCTAGTGTGTCGAGTAGACAATAGCGCAGATCAGAAAAAGATGCTCAATTGTCACACTACCTACCGCTGCAGACCAAGATGAAACATTGAAGAGGTGCAACCCAGTATGAACCATAGTACCCATCGTTATATCGTACGATCTGGGTACTCAACCCGTAGTGCCCCCAGAGAAAGGCTGTCGCTTGCCTCAGTAAGTCAGCATGGGGAGTCGACAAGGTGTGTGTAGTGAACTTGTGCATCTTTGTCGAATACAATTTACTTGCAGATAAGAACATGGCTACTTAAAACAGATGCGCAAGTATCTCAAAAACAAATTTGCCCTTCTCATCGTCGACGGTGCTATGTGCGGCCACACAGTTCTCCGTTCGTTCATGACATCCTGACGTGGGCTCCAATCGACAAGACACGACGTCTCGGCGAGCTCTCTCGGGTTCATCGCCGCGCAAAACGCTTAATCATTCGATTGTCAGAATTGGACCCGCCGCTATGACACCCTGACGCCCTGTCGAGAACGAATAGAGTGCTTACTTCGGGGAAGGGAACGGGAATCATCCGTGAGACGACAAGTGACCAGAGAGAACAAGGTGAGCCCGAGTCAGCTGGATGCAGGGAAAGTACAGGGGTTCGGTCTTTGAAGAGACACCACGATCCCAGTCCGTGCTGGACTGTCAAAATGGGTCTCGGACGGAGGGGTGGATCACGGATCGACGAGGGAACCCGTTTCAAAATGCGCGGCTCTACGGCATTTGGACCGTTGCAGAGGATGATCTTCTTGGGTTGCCGAAATTAGCTGCAGGTGCGCAATCCTTCAGCGTCAATCTACTGTGTTCAGGGAAGCTTGATGGCGTTTATCGGACCATGATAGACGAGATCTGTCCGGATCGGTGCGGGCTGGCTCACGGTTCACGGTGACGGATCCTCTGGATAGTGGGTAGTAATTAGCTTGTACATTCAATCGTTTCCTAAATTACATGTGTTTTTGAATAGGTATACAGAACATTCCGAAGCGCCCGCACTTTTCCCTCCGATAGCCACCCTGGGTATTCGCATCCTTTTAGTCCCTGCCTACTGGTAAACATCTCATAATGTTGTTGCCTCCAACCGTTAAACCCATCCTAGTGGAAATCCTGCCGTGAAGACCTGTGAGGCATGTGATACATGTGCGGCTCCGGGGTCGCCCTTGAGATCTTGTACTCCGTAGTAACCACGATCTTGTTCTGCTCGTGCTTCCTCGACCTCATAGCGTTGTTTCCGCTATCCGCCGCCACCTCGGCGTCGGTATGGGGCAGATAAGGGCTGGATGGCTGCTTGCCCGAGCCCGAATCAATAGAGGCTTCTTCGCCTCCCGAACTAGCCCCCTTCTCGGCCGAGTTGGCAACAATATGTTCCTTCGACCCCCACTTCGTCTCGTCCGGGATGGAAAGAGGGTGGCTGGAAGGCCCCTTCTTTCCAGGGTAGCTGCCCAGTCTGTAGCCCTGGCTGTCGCCCATGGCACCGCTCTTGTTGGTGCTTGCGTTGCGGCTCTTGTCGATGACGGTCTTGAAGAGGGGGTACACCATCGGCATGTTGGTCAACACGACGGACACGAAAGACTCTCTGACGGACCAGTAGCCCGACTGCGCGCTGTCTGTTTCGCCGGCGGTGAGGATGGAGACGCAGCGCAGGATGCCGAAGGCCATCTCGAGGAAACCACCGCTGAACATGATCAACAAGGTGACCTTCTTCCTCCACGGCAGATGGGACTTCCAGACCATGGGAAGGGGGATCGCCATAAGGTAGAAGTCGGTGGCTGTGTTCATGGCCATGACGAAGATGGTTTGGATAAAAGAGATAGCGGGCAGGCAATGGTCTGTTGACAGTTAGTAAACAAATGCCGTGCGAGTTGTTGAACTTACTGCCAGGGTTGGGATTGATCTGCCATTGATGATCAAAGGGAATACACTTGAAGAAAGCGACAAGTAGACAGGAGACATAAGTGACGGGCATGATGATATATGCCCAGAAGATGATGCGCCTCATCTTATGCACACCGTCGCTAGAATCAATATTAGCTCAGGGTTGCGAAGTATTTCATAGGCGGTGCTCACGTCAGACGGGAGTAGTAGATAACCCAGCATCCTTTCAACAGCCACAATAGAGTTGTGTATAGTAACAGTCCAATGACATGTGTCTTTGAACCGTTTACTCGTAACATATACTCTTCCGATGATGGACTTAGCGCGGCTCGTTCTTCATCTGTCATGCCATTGTTGGCAACTCCTTTCCAATATGCAACAACAAAATATGCTGCAACGGACTCGGCGGTATACACTAACTGCAAGCACAACAGTTAGTCATGCGACAAGTTAGAAGGATCAGGTAGAAACTTACAACTGCCACTCCCATCAGGAAATCATCCCAAGCAAACTTCCTCCATCCTAGAGTCGAGAGCCGGCTGTAGTACCGAAGCCCAACAACAAGGTACGCGGCACCTTGCAGGCCCCAGACCTCTCGGATGAACGCGTTCGCAGCTTCCGCAGACATGTTTGCTGTTCCCTTGCCAGCTTCGGCCCGCGCACCAGCAACGTATCGGATGAGGGGGAAGGGGGTAATAGACAAACAAGATGTTGGGAAAGTTGGGTCCCCGCGGCTAAACCGAAAGAAAGTTGAGATAGATCGGGGGCGGACGACAAAATAGTAAATAATAAGCACCGTCAACAAGAGAAGAGGAGGTAAAAAAGCTCTGAAGCGAAAAGGACGTAACCAGGTTTCGTTGCGACAAGGCGCCTGAATCGTTCATTCGTCACTGTTCCCATCCCTTTACCAGCCTTGTGCTTGTCCCTGAACCCGGCTCTCCTGGTTCAGTGTTCCCAAAACGTTCACGACGTTGAGGGCCGTGAGGTGCCGATCGCAAATGAAGTTGCAGGGTATTACGAGAAGATGCGAGCCCGTTACGCTCGACTCAAAGGGCTTGGGATCAAGGGCCCAGGAGCGGCACTTCCGTCTGCGGTTCCCAAGGGCAAGGGGGGTCCTCAACTCCGCTTTCGATAGCAACGGTAGGAATCAGACTGGGTCGGCGTCGCTTCTGTCATTTCTCTGATGCAGCAGCCCAATGGAACCGTAGGAATGTCAACCTTGGCAGTACCGGTACCGCTGCACAGGATTCCTCGCCAAAAACCAAAACACGACCCCAGCCACTGGGACATTCGAGTGCAGCATATCAATCCATCGCGGTGTATGTAGCATCAAGGTTACGGTTCCTTAAGATGTACTAGATCATCGCATCATAATAATGTCGAGAGAAACATATGTGAACAGTCTGGAGACGTCTACGACTTTCATTGCGCGTTCGGATATTGTCCCCTTCGCAAAAACATCTCCGGTCGGATTTTACATGTGACTCGAGTCAGGTTCAGTTCCAATAACGAAAATGAATCGCTGAGGTGCTCCAACAGGTAGTATCTTGGTGGAACCGCCGGGCAAAACCCCAAAGGCGCGCAGGAGGGCGCAGGACCTGCTGCAGATGATTTCTGCCCGGGGGCTCGTCCGTCCTCCACAGTGGAAAATGTCTGCCCAGGGGGGGAATGGTGCAAGGGCCCGCGGGTTACTCCAGTTATTGAGGAGACAACAACAGCTCTGCCGGCGAATGAGACTCTGGGACGGCATATACTTGCGCAATTAGGTCTCTATCGCAATGGGGCGCCGTTGCAGCATTGATCCATCGTCCCTTGCGGGCGGAGGAGGAGGAGAAGGGAAGCTGCGGGCATCGAGGTCGAAAGTCTCCAGTTCATAAGCTTGTCGTTCCTAGTGCCACGTCAACTGGCCATTCTGCAATCTGTACCGTTGCAACCGCCTTGTCGAGCGTAACTGCCGCCGGTGGGATCCTCAGAAGAATCGCACCGTTGTCCACAAATTACGGTTCGCAATGGCCCCGGTTTAAAAACGCCCGGGAGGGTGGGAGAAATTGCGAATCACTTGCTGGTCGTCACAAGGGGCCAGTCCTGATGTGCCCAGTTAATTGATACGCCGATAAGCTCGCAGAACTCGCTTACACAAACACAATCGCGGATTCGGCAACTCTTTTTAGAGACTGCAGTGTGGTTGTTGAAGAAAAAGAAAGCATACCAGTAACCAGTGTGTCGGTGGCGCACTACTGTCAGATATCAATCAAGCAACAAAACCCGGAAATGCCGGGCTTAGGCCCCCGTGCTTCCCCGTCTCTTCAGTGCCGTGCTTCTCTCTCCAACCAGATGCTGTGTGCTCATGGCGGCAGCTCATCACCCAGACTTCGCTTCCACGGGAGCAGACTCTTCCGGGCATCAATGTGATAACATAAACAACAAGCTCAAGGGATGAAGTTGGGCTTGAACGATCATTTCGGCCCTCGTCCGCTCAGAATCCAAGACCAAGACACACACACACCCACGCCCAACGGCGCGCCGTTTGAATTGAACATCCAACGGCGCCCCATATCAACGGACAACGGGCGCACGGACAAGCAGCCTGCCTTTCCATTTCGGTGGTGGTCCCTCCCCGACTGCGTCCAAAAATGGTACAGATCAACGATGGCCCATGAACCGGGCCCTTGTCGGCGGGACGCTCCCGGACGCTGGACGGATGGTCACCATTCTCCACCGGGGAAGAGAGAGAGCCCAGGGCCGGTAGGGTAGGGTCCTGGGTCGTGTCCAACACCCCGCAGTCTCGACACCAGGTAGACGCAGGTCGGCGGCCATCCCACCCTGAATCCATCCATCCATCGGCGCAACCAGCCCAACCAACCCGTATGTGTGTCCCCGTCCCATTGCGAAAGCGTCCTCATCGAACGTTGTGTGGACACCAGGCCAAGACGCGCAGGCCCAAGGTGCTATCGAGGAACGAGTCAAGATGCTCGTATGCCCTCCCTCCCCTCGCAGCCTTTGATAGCTTGTTGCGCGAACTTGTTTGTTTCCTTTGACCTCTTGCCGACCCTGAACGTTCGCACGCATAGCTCACTCCGTCTCCCTTGCTTTCTTTTGACATCCTCCCACCCCAAACTCTAATCTTCCCCTGAAATCGCCAACCGGCTTTACAGACGCCCGAGCACGCTTTCCGGACGAAGGCACATTTGACGAGATGGCGAGCGCACAAATTCCCGAAAGCAATGTCGACGTGTAAGTTGTCATTTTTCCCTTCCCCAGACTGGAAACAGCAAGCACGTTTCATGAGAGCCCGTTTACTGATCTTATTGCCCTCATCGCAGGCTCATCATTGGCGCCGGCCCTGCGGGGTAAGTCTAGTCTCACGCAGTCGCGCCTGGTGGCGGCCATGCTTTCTTTTCGACGGTGGCGACGGGGAAGCTAACGATGAGGCGCCGGATAGGTTGATGGCTGCCGCGTGGATGGCGCATTGCGGCGTCAAGGCTCGCATCGTCGACAAGAGAAACACCAAGATCTTCTGCGGCCAGGCCGACGGCCTGCAATGTCGCAGTCTGGAGATCTTTGACTCGCTTGGCTTCGCGGACCGCGCGTGGAAGGAGGCCAACCACATGATTGAGGTATGAGATCTTCATGGTATTGTGTGATGGTGTGTTTTGCTAACTTGTTCACACAGATATGCATGTGGGTGCGTAGTCATCTAATCACTCTTGGCAGCTGTTGATGCAAAATGCTCATTTCCACGACAGAACCCCGGCAACGATGGCATCATCCGCCGCAGCGACAGAATCCCCGACACCATCGTCGGCCTCTCCCGCTTTCAGCAGATCGTCCTCCACCAGGGCCGCATCGAGCGCTTCTTCCTCGAGAACATCAAGAAGCACTCCAAGGGCGCCATCGAGGTCGAGCGCGGCGTGCTCCCCGAGTCCCTCACGATCGACGAGTCCAAGGTCGACGACGACGCCGCCTACCCCGTGACCGTCAAGCTCCGCCAGCTCAACGAGGAGGAGTCCACGCCGCCCCAGGCCGCCAACGCCAGCAAGGTCGCCGACGGACTCTTCCGCAGCAACCTCGTCCAGAACGACGACGAGGACGACCTCATCCGCAAGAGCAAGACCCGCGCCGGCGACAGCGAGATCGTGCACGCCAAGTACGTCATCGGCTGCGACGGCGCGCGCAGCTGGACGCGCAGGCAGCTGGGCTTCGAGCTCGACGGCGAGGCGACCGATTTCATCTGGGGTGTCATGGACATCATCCCCATCACCGACTTCCGTGAGTGACGCTTGTCCTGGTGTGACGTGGGTCTTACATGAGCGCTAATGTGGGACGATAGCTGACATTCGTATGCGATGCGCCATTCACTCTGCGGAGAACGGCAGTTTGATGGTCATTCCCAGAGAGAACAAGCTGGTCCGCCTGTACATCCAATTGAAGGAGATTAGCACCGACGTCTCAGGAAGAGCCGACCGCTCCAAGATCACCCCTGAAATCATTTTTGGAGCTGCTCAGAAGATCCTCAGCCCGTACAAGATTGAGTACGAGTACTGCGACTGGTGGACTGCGTACCAGGTATGTCGTCGATCGATGATTGAGGCGTAAGTTTCGATTTTAACTTACACACTTCTCTAGATTGGCCAGCGTGTCGGCACCACCTTTGACGCGCACAGTCGCGTCTTTCTCGCCGGTGATGCCGTCCACACTCACTCCCCCAAGGCTGGCCAGGGCATGAACGTCTCCATGCAGGATACTTACAACCTCGGTTGGAAGGTCGCTCTGGCTGCCAAGGGTATCGCCAAGCGCAGTATTCTCAGCACGTACCAGAGCGAGCGTCGCCGTGTTGCCCAGGACCTGATCGAGTTCGACCACCGCTTCTCCCGTCTCTTCTCCGGCCGCCCTGCCAAGGACGTCATGGACGCCGAGGGCGTCAGCATGGAGGTCTTCAAGGACGCCTTCCTCAAGGGCAACATGTTCGCCTCAGGTCTTTCCGTCAACTACGGCCCCAGCAACCTCGTGATCAAGGCCGGTGATGCCTTGGAGCAGGGTGACGGCAGCAAGGCCGTCGAGGCCACCGCCGTCGCTGTTACTACCGAGGAATTTGAGAAGAAGCAGGCCCTCGCCAGCGGCTTGCCCGTCGGTATGCGTTTCAACAGCTTCAAGGTCCTCAACCAGGCATGCGCGCGCCCGTGGCACTTCCAGGAGCGCCTCAAGGCGGACGGCCGCTTCCGCGTCGTCCTCTTCGCCGGCAACATCCTCGACGCCGCGCAGAAGGCCCGCGTCGACAAGTTCGCCGCGGCGCTGGATGCGCCCGAGAACTTCCTGCGCAAGGCGACGCCCGCCGGCGCCCCCATCGACAGCGTCATCGAGGTCCTCACCATCCACTCCGCGAAGCGCACTGAGACGGAACTGCTCCGCGACTTCCCTGACATCCTCCATCCTCTGGACCCCCACTTCGGCTGGGACTACAACAAGGTCTACGTGGACGACGAGAGCTACCACGAGGGCTTTGGCGATGCGTACAAGAACTACGGCGTCGACAAGCAGAGGGGCTGCGTTGTCGCTGTCCGCCCTGACCAGTACGTTGCGTGGGTTGGTGAGCTGGAGGACTTTGACCAGTTGCAGAAGTACTTTGAGGGATGCTTGGTTCTTGGACAGGGTGCTACCAACGGTGTCAATGGTCACGCCAACGGCACGAACGGAACTGAGCTGCCGGTCCGATGATAGGCTGAGCTGGGCCGCAACGCTGCACGAATTCATGTAATTATTTTGGTATTGAGAATAGAAATGACAAATCTAGATCATGAGTCGAACCACGAGCTCAACACGCCTGGAAACAGGCTTCACTGACCAGTGGAATAGGTCTCGCAGTTGCTCCTGCCCAGTTCGGGCCCGGTGAGCCCGGTCTCCCGCCGATCTCGGGCCTGTGGGTCCCGGAACACCGTCCGAGGCACCGGAGTAACCCGGATGACTAAACTCGGATGTCTGCGGATAACCGTTTTCCGCATCCGCAGAGGAGCTCCGCCGCGAGGTAGCCACTCCACGTACCTCGCTGCATCAGTCACCGAACACGAAATCTTCAAGCACACGCGAAGTGAGGAGAATTATCCGAATTATGGGGCAAGTCTACGTCACACGACATAACGCTGCGTCTAAAACTCCGGTCGCGGCTCACGCTATTCCCGTCTCATGCGGTCCAACCACTGACGACAGACCCCAGCGCCAGACTGCCGGCCTTTTCTCCGGCGCTCTGCAGCCTGATGCGGATCAGGTTGAGCGCCTCCGCGCCCAGGAACAGAGGCAGCTTGAGCCGTTGCGCTTCGTCGACGGCTTCCTGCAGCTCTTGCGCTACTGTCTGCAGCGCGGCTTGACCGTCTGAAGCCGCCCAACCCTGGCCGGCGCTGCCGTTCTTGAACGCGTCTAGGATGTGTCTACCTTCGCTGGAGAGCATCTTACTTCCGCCGGCTGCGTTGGTGCACAGCTCAAAGACCTGCTCCAGGTCCAAGCCGACGAAGTGCGCGAATGCGAGGGCCTCAGCTGCTGCGCAGAGGTGGATTCCACGGAGGAGGTTGACGACGAGCTTCAGCTTGGCCTCATCCGTCTTCACAGTCGGCTTGACTGGTCCGATCTTCCCCTTGCCCTCGATATACAAGCGCAGCAACGCAGCATCGTCGTCCGGGCCCCATCCTCTTCCCAGCGCCGTGAAATAAGCTTGCTCTGCAGTACTCGTCATCGGTGTCGGGAATCCAGCTCGTCGCGCTTCTGAGGTGATGATGCTCGTGTCCTTGAGGATAATCGTGACGGCACTCGCAATGGGTTTGAACTCGGGGTCGAGGATTCGCGGCAGTCGGTTCTCGTGCATCCAGCTCCATCCCTCCGACTTGACGATGTGCTCGCCGGTGCTGGGGAGGTCGAGGCCCAGGTGGCTCGCGAAACCCATCGCCTCGCTCGCGGAGAGAATCTGGTTGGCGGCGAGGACCTGGTGGCACATCTTCATGTTGCTTCCTGCCCCGATCCCGCCCTTGACGATGTACAGCTTCTCGGGGTCCGACATGGCCTGAAGGAGATGCAGGCCTCTGCTGATGGACTCTTCTGGGCCGCCTGCCATTATCGAGAGCGTGCCCGCCGCTGCCCTAGCAGCGCCTCCCGATACAGGACTGTCGACGAGGAAGATGTCGCCGCGACCCTTCTCGACCAGCTCCTTCTCCAGACCTTGCACATATCCGCAAGGCACTGTTGAGCACAGAAGCAGGACGGCTTCTTGTGGGAGGGCCTTCACCAACGCGGCATCGCCTTCGAAGATGATGCTCTGTGCTTGCTCTGCCGTTGCAACCATGCAGACGCAGAACTTCTTCCCTGCAACAGCTTCCGCTGGACTGGTCGCCGTGAGACCTCCTGCCTGCTTGAACTTCTCTAGCGTCGGTGCCCACACGTCGAAACCTGTGACCGGGTATCCCTCGCGGATGAGGTTGGTAGCCATTCCGAAGCCCATGGCCCCCAGGCCAATGAAGGCCGTTGACGGCTTTGTGGATCCCATCGCGAAGTGTGATTTCAGGATATCCGCTGCTCAAACAGTGTCTCTGGAGTTGTCTTAGAGATGGATGAAGGATCAGGCTTGGTTGGGACCTAGCAAGCAACTTCGTCATGCGTGGAAATGGAACGAACGAAGCGAGAGAAGGAAGAATCTCATGATGATAAGGCGAAATCGGACAAGACCCTCTCTTTGGTTCGGTAAACAATCCGTCCCTCGGGGTAACATGTCATTCTGCCGAACCGATTGGAGCTCCGAATCCCATCCGTCCCTGCGGCCCCGCGCGGAAAATCGGTTCATTTCCGCCTAAATTCAAGATCCCCCGCAATCCGGCATTACCCCTCGGGACGAAGTCCGCGATTTTGGAATGTCCTCAAATGACCTCATGTTTACTACTCAGATGAGTCTTGCTGAACGCTTGCATTGAGTTTGAAGATAGCTCTACCACACAATTTTTTCCCTCGCTTTTTGCATTGCGCTGTCATAACGACTCACACAACCCCATCTTCCGTCTTCAGAATACCATCAACACACCCCACAATGCCGCGCCCACCCCTCTCCCAGAACCGCACAATGCAAATCGTCAACGACGCCCATAAGGGCGGCTACGCGGTCGCTGGCTTCTGCTGCTACAACCTCGAGGCCGTCGTCGCCTCCGTCAGAGCCGCCGAGGCAACATCGTCCCCTGCCGTAGTCCAGCTGTTCCCTTGGGCGATGCAATACGCCGGCAGCGCCCTCGTCCGCGCCGCCGCAGAGCTGTGCCACAGCGCCTCCGTGCCGGTATCGCTGCACCTCGACCACTGCCAAACCCCGGAGCTCGTCCGCCAGGCCGCAGACATCCCTGACGGCTTCGACAGCATCATGGTCGACATGAGCCACTACGAGAAGGAGGAGAACCTCGCGCTGACGCGCGAGCTGGTGGACTACTGCCACGCGCGGGGTATCGCGACGGAGGCGGAGCCAGGGCGGATCGAGGGCGGCGAAGACGGCGTGGCGGAGACGGTGGATCTAGAGGGCGTGCTGACGACGCCGGAGCAGGCGGAGGAGTTCGTGGCGACGGGCATCGAGATGCTTGCGCCCGCGTTTGGGAACGTGCATGGAGAGTATGGGCCGAGGGGGATCAAGTTGGAGTTCGATCGGCTTGAGAATGTTAACAAGGGCGTTGGAGACCGCGTACGGCTGATTCTGCATGGCTGCGACCCCTTTGACGAGGACCTTTTCAACCGCTGTATTGAGAGGGGAGTGGTCAAGATCAACATCAACAAGGGCATTAACAACCACTATGCGCCGGCACAAGAGAAAGCTCGCGGCCGCCCGATTACTGCTACTATTGAGGCCGGTACGAAAGACATGCAGGCAGCATGTGAAAAGTACATGCACTGGTTCCGTTCTGCAGGCAAGGCCAAGGCAGCATAAGCAGCGGTGGGTGATAGTAGCATATAGACAATAAAGATTTTACTCTACATTTTATAATGGGCGATTTCTCTGAAATACTCACTTCCTACTTCCTGATCAATTCTGCGTTGAGTGCTCGGCCGGCTCCTTCTTTTTTGAGATAGTAGTTGGGCTCTGTCCAAGTCAGACGAGCCACGAGACAGTCTGCTGTTTGAACTTACCTCATGACTCTCATAGACCTCAAGCTATATCACTTCCAATGTTCATTTGTGAGTAATTGATGAAGTTTGCAATAGACCAACCTACTAGGTATTCATCCGAGAGCCAACTTTCTCAATGCACTGGCAGCGAACCATCTTTAATGGAATGTTGGCACTAAACATAGAAAAGTTGCATTCAGCCATAACCAGGGTGGCGGCGTTTTTGTCCACCAACCAGCTCACGTCTCAACTACTCCCTTTTTCATAAGCCTTGTATCCTTGGTCTGTGTTTGAAGGCATCCCACATCTCCACAGTGCACAAAGCTTAGATCGGGCATCCCACGAAGGTTTCCATCAGCTCGTATGATTCTTCTTTGGCCAATCAGGCGCTAATCTCCGTCTGAACGCTGGCGGGAACATTGCTATGACTTTCGGAGCTACCCACCAGATGAACCCTGAACTGGTTGAGCAGTTGAAAAATTGAAAGCAGCTGTTGATCTTGAGTCCACACAGCGTTTGAGTTTGAGTCCATGAGGAGTTTTCGCTGGGTCGGAGAAACCCGTCTGCAAATTAGCTTGACACGCTTGTCACTTGTGCAACGGAGAAGTCCAGACGATATAGAAAGATTCAAACTCAAAGTTGGTATACGATGCAGTCAATGCTTATTGCTCTTTTGGTATCTCGAGATGCTTCAATGTTCCAAATATCGACCAGCTGTCAGCAGTCCCTTTCCCCGTCTCTTGATTGACGCGCAACCACTCATCCCCTATTGGCTTTCTCCAATTGTATCTAGCAAGGGTAGCCAGCAGAGGTGCCGGCCTTGTCGCTGGCGGTGGTCGCAGGGCAGCCGGCAATGCAGTGCTTGCAGTTCTGGCCGCCGTTGCCCCAGGCCTCCTCGGCGCCAGTGCAAGCGCCCTTGCAGCGGCCGGAGACGAAGGAGTTGAACTGGCAGTCGAAGCAGGTGTCGGCTCTCTTGACGAGAGCGTCGCCCTCGGCAGAAGGAGCGGCGATGACGCCGGCCGCGAGGAAGGTGATGGCGGTGAGGATGGCGGAAGCCTTCATGTTGACTGTCGGTACTGGAAAGTTGAGGGAGAGGGTTGATTGCTGGAAGCAGTGCGTGTTAGTGGTTTGGTATCGAAGAAGCAGGCACTTCCATGCCAAGAACTGCCTCGGGAGGACTTACAATATGGTAGAGTTTGTTATCGGGCTGAAAGTTCAAACGTTTAGATGGCACAAAAGCTTGAGTTGTTAGAGTTGCGGAAGAGCCGGATCAACTAGACTTATATAGTCGACTCCTGGCCAACAGTTCATAATGCTTCACTTAAGGCTGTAAACGCGTATTGGTCTCCTGCGAAAAATTCGGGTGGACTGATCGTGCGACACGGCGAGTCAGATCCAACGCGTGTTGAAGTTGATGGTTCCCCAGTCTGTAAACTCTATTTTCGAAACTTGCCTATTGAGATCTGCAAAGCTGCCAATTATGGCATTAAGTGTGGATAATTCTCGTACTATAATCATCAAGTATATTAAGTCATTAAGTCATGCGATCCAAGCGGCTGGGTTCGGCCCTCGGATTCCGTGGGCTTTGTTCTTCGATTGACTGCGCCTGGTTGGTTCTTGATGTCAGCGGTTGCCCGGGTCGTGTATGCGATGCGGGCCGGGACCGGATCTACGGCACTTTTGAAATTTCCGAAGCCGGTTGCGAATGGCGGTGGATTAATGATACTGCCATTTCATCTAGTTCGCAGTCGATCCATCACAGTTATCAGCGCCTTGCATGCGTCATGGCAGCTGCTGCTGACCTTAATCACCGGTAAGTCCGATGTTAGAAGAGCAGAGAGCTGTGTATATTACGTTGACATAGATTTTGATACGACCAGTCATTGTCCTCTTCACTGGCATCTTCATGGCAATTGACGCGCAAACTTACAACCCTTGTGGCGCCGCTGGTGGACCTGGCCTGTGGCCAACATCTTTCAATATTAATATTCGTGATCACTAATTCAACCCGAACTGAAACCACGAAATATGTAGTCTCCTCCCTGGACATAAGATAGCGGCTTCCCGTGAACGCTGTGTGACTATACCAAGTGCCTCTCCCTTTCAAGGAATATGTGAACAAGCCGTTTCTTGCATCTCCACATCAAACATTTTAGTGAGATTTAAGCAATAGGATTGAAATGTCGAAAGCGATTCAGAGGATCGTATTTCGCCTTCAGCAGACGAAGCCTATCCAACCTCCAGGCTTCATGACCGTACAACTCCTCAATAGGCTCTAGCCCATTGGCGTAGTTGAGATACACGTTGGTTGGTCGCTCGGGCTGGCCGTTCACCCAGTGCTCTTTGATTTCATCCACCCACTCCTGTCCTGCCTCTTGTGCAGCAGGATTATTAGGAGGGACGAAGACCATGGGGAGCATCAGGTGATGGTCGTCGCGGAAGGGATAAGCGGAATCGTCGGGGTTTTTGGTCTGCACAGCTGCGGTGGAGTACCCTTCGTGAACTATAGTAGTCCTTCCGGCGAGTTCTGAACCAGAGGCAAGTCGCTCTTTGAAGCCCTCAAATATGAGGCGCTCAGAGGTCAGGTTGTAAACTTGCAACCCTACTGCAGCAATGGCTCGCGTAGTGCCCTTTTGGCAGAAGAAGGATTCCTCGTTCATTTGTTGCGCCGCAGAAATAGAAGGGTAGGGACCGTCGTCTGACTCGTCATAAGCAGACTCGATCGCGTTGAATGGCGCCAGGTGTTGTTCCGCTTCTTCCGCAGACCCTCGGTAGGCGAAAGTCCAGAAGATGACGGGCTCTTCGATCGATATCGTTCTATTCACCAGAAAGATTCCGAAGTTGGCCGTCATATTAACAGGGGTAGACCCATTGCTGTGGAAGAGGTTCAGGGCCTCGAAAACCTCCTCGAGTTTGTCATCCCGCCAGACGTAGTTATGGTAGTGCCACGTGTCGGGGCCGCGAGGGAATATGTTCAGCTCAAAGCTGGTAACGATGCCGAAGCCGTGTCCTGCGCCCTTCAATGCCCAGAATAGATCGCTATGGCTTGTTTCGCTGACCTTCACGGACTCACCACTAGCCAGGACAACATTGAGTTGGATGAAGTTGTCGATTATCAAGCCGTAGAGGCCCTCATGCCGTCCATGGCCCCCTCCGAGACCGGGGCCCATCATACCAACGCAGTCGCAGGCTCCTGTAGTGGCAACATACCCGCGATCCCACAAGTACCTGGTGACGTTGCCACCGTAAACACCGCCTCCAAACCAGGCAGATGCGCCGTCAGGCTGGATATCAATACTGTGCAAGTTCTCCAGACTGATTTGAATGCCCTTGAAGGTATTGAGCGATTGACTCCAGCCGTGACCGCGGTTCACAGCCAAGAAGTCGATGCTATCCTCATTGCAATACTTGACCTAGTAAATCGTTTAGCAATAGCCTCTGGATAGTGGGAGTCGATGCCCGAAGGTGTATAACATACGATGATGGATACATCGGACTCTTCTCCAGGTGCGATAACAACTTGAATTTGGGGCGTCGCAATCGGGTTCCACCTGGCAGTCGCGTTGACATATGAATCATCGTCGGGTCCAAAGATGGTGGAGGTTTTGGATACGCAGCATCCCAGTTCTCGTCGAACCTGCTCGACATCCAACTGGCTCCGCGTGACAGGCGCTTTAGTGAAGTAGTTGGGTATGCTATGGGCGAGAGCGAAATTTTGGAGTAACCCGAGGGCCAACAGGAAGCACAACAGTTCGTTCATGTTGAAAAGTGTGACAGGTTTGACTCGGGGCATTGGGGTAGTGTGAGAAACACCTCAATTGTTTTTCGCGGATGTTTGTCAAATGAGAACAAATCGGGACTGCCTTGGTTATAAGTCGTACAGAAAATGCCCAAGGCTACACTGAGTCTAGGACGCTAGGGAATACGGCCTTGGCCACTCACCGAGTCTGAGACAAGAACGTCCAGTTTCCTATTTCAGCAAGTCGGCCAAGAGATTCCAAGAGTTTTCTTGTGAGACGGGAGCAGGCAAATGGTCTTTCCTTTCTTTTCTTCCCGTAATCTTCTGCCCAATGAAGTTTCTATCTTGATGCCTATACTTACAATTTCGATCCGTAATTGGTGGATTTTGACAGTCTTGAGAAGCAGGCTCTGTGGTTTCACCGAATTTTTAATGTGTATTAATGCATGCATGTTGCATTATTGAACGCCGCGCGTCCGCAAGAGTCCACACAGAGAGCTTGGCGTAAGCACACAAACCACCTCCAACTCAAATGTCGCAGTTCATTGGGCAAGACGACCTAATGATATGCCCCAACATCAAAGTGGTTTCCTGGAACAGAAGTATTCTCATAATCAATGTGTTTGCAGCAAATAATCGTTGGAGCAGGTTGATTTGGGGGAGTTGCATCAGTCCCTTGAGTGATGCATCAGCTCACGTGGTATGGTTAAAGGGCAGTGCGCTGGTTACTTGTCAGACTTCAGACTGGAAACTAATCACGCTTCCAGCCCATGCCAAAGGGTCCAGGGTACCGCTACGGTCTACAGCCTGCAAGTCGCAAGTCGACAAGTGCAACGAGGAGTAACCCACAGCGACGAGAGGAAAGATCACAGGTTAACGACGATGAACCACGAAAGACTCTCGCTACCGAGTTTCTTGTGATATTTCAATTTTGTCCCCAATCTGTAATTGTAATTGCTAAGCAGAAATTTGGCCTTGCGTCGTGACAAAGTTTCTTTGAATGTCGAACAGTCTTACAGATATATGACCTTGACGTTGAGATTCCTTGCCAATTTGCCCAACATTTGATCCAAATGCTTTCGGTTGTTCTTCACCCGGAACCAATCTTTTCCGTTGTTATCCAATTCCATTTCAGTGCACGCGCGAACGTCAACTATGCGCAGGCTCCGGTATTGAGACTGACAGTTAGTATTAAGGACCACGCTTAGATTCTCGAGAGAAAGCAAGACTTTCGTAACTGCAAATTCCCAGTTAAAGTATGGACAAGGACTTATCGGAACAAACTCCAAAGTCTGTAGTGTCCGTCCTACATTTCCAACATCTTGCTGAGATTGTAAGAATTTTGTATCCCCAAGAATGTCGATAGGAAGCAACCATCGAAGATTATTGGTTTTGATATGCTTGAGAACCTTCATGCTAGAAATTGCTCGGGCCATATTCGAATAGTTTGTTTCGTATCCAACCCACACAAGGGTCTCCAGCGTGCTCTCAAGACCCAGGAAAGCGTTCTCAGGCATCCTCGTGAAGCTGTGGTAGTTTGAAAGTAGCTTGAGAGACGGAAGCCTTGATAAAATATGCTCTCCGTCACGTGGAAGAAATTTGCAGTCGTTGAAATATGCTTCTCGAATATTACTTAGGATGGGAAACCCTTGAGTTTTGAAGAAACCATTCAACGACAGCCGTTCTAGACCGGGTAGCCTTGAAAGAAGACTGTACAAACTGTCTTCATATAGTCCCATATAGTCGCGAATTTCTAGAGACCTCAGATTGACCAGGTTGTTGAGCAGATCTGGCTTAAAGTATGGGTGAATGGATGTTTGCGTATACCAGAAGGTCTGGATGGAAAGATGTTGAATATACGTTTGCACAACAGGATGTGAGGTGATCCTTTCGAAGAATCTTGCGACCATTTCATCATCGCCGTGAATGACTGGTGTGCGATAAATCACTTTGCCGCATGCGGCAAAGAGGTGTGAGCTTGTTGCGGTGAGGTTCTGGATGTCTTGATTCCGCCGCTTGAATTCCTTGTAGGCTGGCGGCTCTGTTCCATCTTCGGTAGGCTTGTAAGACAGTAGATCCCGACTCCAGTAATTCTCTACGACAGATTCGGCTGAAATGTACTTCAGCGACGGGCCGATGTGTGGGAAGTTGGCGTCATCTTGTAGGTGCTTGGCGATCTCGACCAGAAGTTCCGTAGGAAGCTTTTCGAAACTGCTCAGATTCGAGTTCCGCTGTGCTGCCTCTGCTGCAGCTTGTCTCGGCATTTTGTCGATGTATGAAATGTTGTGTGGTGTGCAAGTTCTCAAGGAAGCGCGCATGGAATCGTTGATTTAAAAACGAAAGGCTTTTCACCCAAGCGTAAGGCTTTTGTTTTCTTTCATTAAGGTACCTGTCTGACGGTCCATGACTATCGGTGTCATGTTTGGACGCATGCGTCACACGGGCAGAGACAAAGTTTTCCCGTCCGTACCTTGATGATATCCGAACGGAGTTCAGGGCGGTGCTCTGAGCGTGTGCGCCCAACCAAAAGGTGAGTTGGCATCCTCATTGCGCGCTTGGCAGGTTTGACGCATGGTGAAAAGAAAGTAAAAACGAAGAAAGAAAGTGAAAAAGCGTGGCTGTCGTTGTGAACTCCCACGTTTACTGCTGGTTGAGCACCTAAGCTTCGAAAGTGCTAATCTATTTGCATACCTAGACAGAGTTTTTTTTTTTTTCATTACATGCTCGGAATAAACTGATTTGACTACATTCAACCGCCTACATGGTCATCGGCAAATAGCAACTCCACACCCAACCTCCGCAGCCGTTTTTGATAGTCAGTCAGAACCTCTCCTGTATCCGTGAGGGGAGGCTTTCCTTTCGATATCAGACCTACTGCACGAAGGTCCACGATCCGAATTCTGTTAGATTCCGCCTGGCACCGCGTTTCAATCCAGCCCAAGACTGATGCCAATGCGGGGGACGAAGCCCCTCGCCTGCCCCCACCGTACCACGAGGGCATCGTAAACACCGTGTGAAGCTCGAATGCCTCCAAGCTTGGCATAAAGTCATCTCTTTCTGGGCCATCCCTCGTACGCAAGACATAGCTTACGAAATGGTACCAGCAGAGACTGAGACGCTTGACCCTCGTCAGGCGAGACACAGGAATCTCGGCTTCAAGGAAACTGTCCAGACACGTGCGGTCATGCTTGTGCGACCAGCCGAGGAACTCCAGCTGAGGTGCGATGGGATCTAAATGTTGCGACTTGCAATCTTTAACACACCAGGAGGAGTGGAGTGAGTTGTAGGCGGCCAGCGATCGAAGAGCTGGCAGCTTTTTCAAGATCGATTCTGCCTGCGGTCGTTTGTCCCGCCAACTTGAATTCCAGGGCGCGCAGTTGTAAAAGTGCGCCTCGGTGATTCGAGGCAAGAGTGGTAGATGCAGTTCGAGGCCCCTGAAGTGTTTGAACGAAATGCGTTCCAAGGCGGGGAGTTTGGGTAGAAGTCTGCACCACTCCACGACGTGCTTTGGCTCCTTCACCCATGGCTCCAGGGCAACGTCCAGGCTCCTCAACATCTTCAGCTCCAGAGTGTCTGCGTTGATGCGGTTCTTCAATCGAAGCAGCGGGAACCAATTCCATGTTTCGCAACTTGACTGTTCGAACATATCGTACACAACAGTCATTTCGCTAACGAAGTCTTGAAGACGGTTCCGTTTGGCAATGTTGGCAAGCAGGCTTCGTACATTCTTAGAACCCACAGCGACTGGTGCACGGTAGCGGCTCACATATAGAGCGAAAAATATGCGTCGGCTGGTGAGTGAAAAGTTGATGACATCTCTGCATGGCTTCGGACGTCCTCCTTTGCGCAAGTGGACCAATGTTTTGCGGTCGGCATGTCGTCTATGGTAACCCTTTATTTCGTCATGGTGGTGACGGTACGAAGCAGGGAAGTGTGGTGCCCAAGGGTAATACTGGCATATCGTGCCATCAGTTGATGTATAAGTGCGCTCCGGATCGCTCGCCGGGAAGATTTCGGGTTGGAGGTACTCGGCGATGTCGATCAGAATTTCGCCGGGCAGGTTGTTGAGGTTCGGCCTTGTGACCGCGTCGGTGTCGTGCGACGACGGCCCCTTCCGGCACCAAGTAGGGAGCACGATAAACTGGCGCCAAGGCATTGCGCCTTATTTGCGTACCAGGAAGACGCCCACGCGACTGATGGATGTTCAAGGAAGAGCGACGGTGAGCATCTTGCTATCAAGATCAGTAACGAACTGTGAACCCCTTAACAATTCTGGGTAAGCTAAGATGAGCAAAGACCAGCGACAAGAACTGAAATCAAGGACAGGTTCGCGATTCAGGATCTGGGGGAATATTTATGTAGCATGTGCACTGTGGCCGTCCAGGTAGCAATCCGATGCTCAAAGTTTCCCATAACAATGCTATCGCGCCTTTATTGATTGCTCCTGCAGCCAAGAGAACTAATTCGGCAGCTTGAACGACGTGGCAAATCGCTACCAGAGAAATTTGAGCGCTTTACGATTTTGAAGCTGCAATAATACCCGCCACAACGGCAAAAGCCTCCAGTATTTGCCTGTGCATATCCAGTCTCTTCCAATCGGCAGCCCATCCGCGGACTTCCTCAAGGCTAGCGCCACCGCCGGGACCATCATTTTTCTTAGAGTTGACGATTCGTTCGTGTTCGGCGAGGAGCTTGTCGTTGACGGGAAACACCCTGAACTGGGTGTATGGCGCCACGGACCCCATGAGGACGGCCGCGGCGAGGTTGTAGATAAATGCAGGGCTTTCGGCGCCGTCTGGGGAAAATAAAAATAGCACGAAATTGTTAGCCAATGGAAAATAATAGTAATACGCTTTTTGGCGTGTGTGTGCTGTGCATTTAGGTTCGTGCCGGCAGCACGGCGAAGAGACAGGGGAGGGGCCGGACCCACCTTTCCAAGCAAGGAAACCGAAAACGGCCGCCGTGCCGGTCACCATTGTGGGGCCGTACTTCCGGCCGAAGTCCCACCCTCGGAACCATAGCTCGGTGATTAGGTCCTTATCTCGGAGCTGCACGATGCTGTGCATGGCGAGTTTGTCGCTGCCATATTGATATCCTGGTATTGTTAATAAAGCCTCGGGCCTTCTTCTCGGGCGTGGAAAAAGCGATGGCCGTTGGCCAACATACCTACGAGATGTGCCGCTCCAGCAAGGTTGACCAGTTGGAGCACACGGGTCCAATTGATACCCTCGGCCATGGCGAACGAAGGTTCCGTCTGAAACTGTGGGTCAGATAAGGGTCGTAGAAGTCAGGGTGTGGTTAATGCGCTTGAAAATAGGCAGGCGAGGTGTGCGATAGTCATGATCAAACTGCAAGATCAGCTTCATGAACAATCCAGCGATTGTCGTTCATTTTGACTCTTAGATCCATCCCACACAGCCCGCGGTCAAAACGTTGACAGCCCCTCATCTTGGTCATCAATTTCGTCACCAGTGCGTTCTGATCCCCAGATATGCAACCTGTGCCGCCATCCCGCCATCCCACCGGCACACCAAGCCAACAGCCCCTAGTAGACGCGGGAGCCGAAATAGCGCGACGGCGAAATCTCTTTTAGCCCCGTCTCTCGGCTAAACAGCAAGGCTTGTCTCAAGTCAGACAAGGCTGTAATGATAAGGCCAGATTGAAGGGAACGCCTGTTGTCACGTGGGGCTCTGTCCAAGCCCAGCCCAGCCCCGCGTTTCGGCAGTCGGGCCGCAAAACAAAGGGTCACGATCAGAGCGCGCAGCAAGTTCGAGCGTATTTCACCCGTCTATTCGGTGCTAGCTGGGGCCATAATGGACGCCCGTTCCTTTTAACGGCTCTAATACAAATGGTTTGATGTTCTCGATGAACTCTCTGTCGCTCTCCGTGTGCTTCATGCACCAGCACCAGATGGCCATTCCCAGGCACCGGTCCCAGGAGAGGAGCGGTATCAGCGGCTTGTTGTCCATCATCATCACCGCCTTATCGCACATTCTGCTGATTATCAAAAGCTCCTCGTCGCCCTGGTCGTCCATGAGCTCGGGGTCCGTCGGTATCATGCCGAACCACTGCGCTGCTGGGCCGTCCCACATCATGAGCGGCATGGGCACTTTGACTCTGAGCATGGCTGGCTCTGCGTTTCGGGATATTCGGAGCGCGGGGTATATCGTAATAAAGACTGCTTGAAGGATCAAATGTAGTTTGAACTGAAAAACGGCAAGACTGTTTCGCAGCAGAGTTAGCAAAAGATCTCGTAGTCTGTAGGCTTTGGACCAGAAGTAAATGACAACGCCCACTTTCGGTACAAGTTTCCCTCTTCTTTCAGAGCGACATGTCCCAACATCAGATGAACCTCGTCAGAGGAACCACTCTCTTCTGCTTGTGATGCTTTCAACGAGAAGGGGGCTCTCAACGTACCGCTGACATGATTCCCGGAAAACCCAAGGATACCCACTATTCCCGCAAAGTTGCGAAGCTGCGTTAATCTTCGACTGGTCGTAAAGGCCCGTCGCCTTGAACGTCTCCAGGAGCATTGCGTGCGTCATCATCACGTTCTCCATCGTTTTGTCTGCTCGGTATGGCACCAAGATTGTTGAAATCAGCATGGCTTGGAAGATTGGTAGCAAATCTACTCGCGGGGACAGCATGCCCCTTCTTGATTGTTCTAATAGTTCGAGCTGTAGAGACTTGGTGTTAGCGTACTGCGTTACGGTACTGACTCGGGTCGCATTTAAAGTGGAAACCAATTTGCCCGTACGCTGTAAAGGCCAACACGCCAAAAGAGAAGTTATCGACACTTACGATTTTGTTGCCTACCTCTATTAGGAGGTGGTCGTGGAACCTGATGGCGAGATCTCGTGACCCCGGTGCCGAGGCAAACCATAGTCCAACGGTGATGACGGCCTGCATCAGCAGCTTAGGCTGCATCGTGGACTCGAACGTCTCCCTGTGCAGCATCGGCCACTGGGGATGGAAGTGGTCAAAGTAAACTCTCTGCAACTGCATCCTCATCCCCTCATCCAACATCGATCCAGGTGCAAAGTCGAAGGTATCGGTCATCGTCATCGGTGCCGGTGGCATGATAGTCTGCGTAAGCAAGCCGGTGGGCGACATCCCCGTTGTCAAGGGGTCCGGCATGATGACGGGATTCGAAGGCGCCATGCAGGCAGCCAGCATGCTAGAGCCGGTAGAAGGGGACGATCCCACCGCTCGTCCTGGCGATGGTTGCTTGCCGCGCGGCTGCGGCCACTCGCACGATCTCCCCTTATCGTTGCACGTCGAACAGGAGGGTTGCTGACCATCGCATCTTGTCTTTGTGCGATGGCACGGGACGCAGGCTTGTGCTACGCGTGTTGGCGGGGCAGTCGGGCCGTGGAGAACCATATGCCTACGAAGAGTATCTCTATTATGGTGTTTTCCGCGTGTTAGTCTAGATATTGTTCGGGTTCGGGTCCGTTTCCGACCAACGCGAGATGGCCTCGGGTGCCGAGCTGGTGCACCACTTTGATACTTTCTCTACAACCACAACAACAACCACAACGACAACCAGCAACAACTAGAAGACAACGGTGATTGCAATGACATACCCTCTTGTAAATTTTGTACCACATGATGGGCAGCAAAAAGATGGTGTAGCCGCGTGCTCCTTTTTGTGGCGCGTGAGGTGTTCTTTGCGTAGATAGGAGCGGCCGCAGCCGTCATGGTCGCAGGTGAACGGCATTCTGGGCAGCTCCAGCGTACGGAAGGAACAGATCCATCGCACTGGAGAGTTGGTTCCCTATACAGTTGACTAAAGGATGAGTAAAAAAAGGGCTTGGCGGTAGAGAAGGGGCTCGGTGCATAGAATAGCACCGGTGCACTGGTGCGCTGTGTGTTGAGATGTTCGGACAGGACCTTCGCTTGACTCCGAGACCCCCTGGGAAACTGTGGGGCCGGGGCTAAACCTCCCGCGGCAGCTGTACGCGCCAAAGCTCGCTAATGATTGGTCTCCCACTCTCCCGGTGCTTATTAACACGCGCTGACTCAGCGAGTGGGATACCGGTTTTGTGGGTCTTGGGGCGCCGGGGCGGGGGCTCCGGACGCCGAGTCTGCTGCCAATCCGCCGGCGAGCCGGTAGGAGGGCCGTTGAGCACCACGGAGCTTATGAATAGCAGTTTAAAGAGCCCCGGGCACGCCGCCGGTGATATAAGAGTCCACCGGAGGGTTAGATGTCGCGATATGCAGTCGAGAGAGAGAGACAGCTCGAACGCCTTCACTGTAGATAGAGGGAGGGCACACCGACGAGACAGACATCCCGCTGAAGATTTCGCTTTCTGAGACACCGTTTACTCATCACCTCGCACACACGGCAGAATAATAATGGCTGCCCTTAAAAAGATAGCCGTCATCGGTGTAAGTACATAGCCCCGTCCCCCCTCCCCTCACCTTGCTCCCCCTTACCTTCCCCTCCGGACTCCAGCATTGACCAGTGGCCCGCACGTGGCAACTAAAATAGGGAACGGGCGACCTCGGCCATGTCATCGTCCAGCAGTTGGTTGCCGCCGGCATCTTCGACGTTGCCGTCGTTACCCGAGACTCCCGAGACACACGAGGCAAGATCCCTACGGGCGCCAAGGCCGCTGAAGCCGACTACGAGTCCCTAGAGAGCCTGACCGCAGCCTTTCGAGGCTTCGACGCCGTCGTCTGTACTCTGCCAGGCCATCTGGAAGCCTCACTTCTGCGCATTCTCGACGCCGCCATCGCTGCGGGCGTAAGGCGCTTCATTCCCTCAGAGTTTGGCTCAGATCACCGGCAGCCGGCCGCCCACTCCGTCCCTCTCTCCGCGAGCAAGATCAAGGTGGACAACACACTTCAGAAGGCCGCCTCGGAGGGCCGCATCGAGTACACGTCCATCTTGGGAGGACCATGGATAGAATGGATCATGACTTTTGAGGAGGGCATGAGCATCCCCGAGCGCAAGTTCTTCATCCACGACGGCGGCGACATCCCCTTCGGCCTCACCACCCGAAAGGCATTCGGCGACGCGGTTGCGGGCGCGCTCAGGCACCCCGAAGAGACCAAGAATCAACTCTACACGATCGAGGTCATCAGCCTGACTCAAAACCGCATCCTGCAGCTCGTCAAGGAGGCCCTGCCCGACCTCGAACTTGAGATTGTCCATGTCAACACCAAGGAGCGTTACGAGCGAGGCGTCAAGAAGCTTGTTTCGGGCGTCTTTGACATGTCTGTTGTGGGGGACATAGTTTTGAGATTCGTCTTCGACTCGGAGCTACAGCTTACGTCCGACACCAAAGCCGCCAATGAGTTGCTCGGTGTCGAGAGCATCACCGAGAAACAGTTCAAGGAGCTCGTCAGATCCTTGGCCAACTGAAACTGGGGCCGCCAATGGAAAGCAACGTTATGCGCGTGCCTTACGTCGTTAAGCACAGCAGAATGTCGGTCAAAACTAGCAAAGAAACGTGTAATAGCGACTAGTATTCATAGAAACCAATTGAGAACGGCTGAAACTCAAAGAGGTCTGTAAAGATCCGACGGGAGGTTCCATGAGCCTGGAAAATTTTGTAAATCCGCGGCACTATTGCCTCAAAGCGGACATAAGTCGTTACGCCAAAAAGCGCCAAGCCAGCGCTACAGCTCTGTCTAAAGGCCTCTAGACCGTTAGTCTGATGCTCTAAAGACCCTCCTAGAGACGGACAATTAGAGTTGCCCACGGCCGCCGGCTATCCACTGGCCCTCCCCTGGTCCGGGATGTGGGCGGCGTCTCCCGAATTGCCGGAATAGGACATGGCACGGTGTCTACGATGAAGCTTAAATGAGTAATGAACTCGTTGGCGCCCATCGAAAGAACGGACGGACGGAACCAACAACAGGACCAGACGAGAACGAGATGCAGCAAGAGCTTTGACAACAGCCCTTGCGCAAATCGCCAATGACGATGGCAAGATCAAGATGAGAAACCCAACGGTCGCGACCAGTCACTCTTTGGGAGCTGATGGCGATTCCCACAGACGGATACGGCCCGACAAGAAAACGAGATGATGATCGATGACGGCACGAGCCCAACGATGCAAGGCCCGAACAGACTACGGCTCCTAAGCCGGGGATCAACAACGCCATCGGGTTCATGTCCCGAGTTGGCACCAACCCTCATCCAAACTTGGGCCGAAGTTCGAACAAACTCAAGCACGGCAGCAACACTCAACTAGTCAGAAACGCTTTCTTGGATTTCTTTGCTTTGCCGCTCCACGGAGCCGACAACGGGCCCGTTCAGAACCAGTCCTACAGGGCCGCTGGCGAGCCTACGTGGCATGGAAGTTTAAAATAGGAATATCTAGTCGAGGGCAGGCAGCGCAGGTTGGCAAATACCCCGCCACACAAGTCCCTCTCGTGAAACCGTGCGCCCACGGACGCTCAACGGTCTCGTCGGCACCCACGCCGTCTCATTGGTCAGTAACCAGGTTTTAACATGTCTGTTGTAATGTACAAGTTGGGGTGAAAGAGGGTAAAAAAAGAGGTCTTGGCCCTGGAACATTTTTTATATACATTCTATAAGGTAAGCAATACTGTTGGTGATTCGGGGCTTGTTCCGAACCTGCGCTTGCGCTTCCATCTTCCGGGTAACGATAGCCCGGGTCTAGTAGCTGTAGCGGAACTGCTTGTTCTCCTTATCAGTCATCGAGGCCCAGACCTCGGGGGCCATGAAGGCGTCCTCGGACTGCTGCTTGGCCCCGCGTCTCTTGTTCTCCCAGCGGTAATAGGCGTACAGGGCCAGCGTGACGACGGCGCAGCCGGCCTGGGTGCCCATGACGGCGATCTTGGCCGGGCGGTAGTCGGGGGCGTCGCGGGCCTGGAAGGTCTGCGGGCCGATAATGTTGCCGAGGGAGAAGGATCCGCTGACGATGGCGGCGGCGAAGGCGCGCTTGGTTGCGCCACCAAAGTTGGCGGCGGTCCACTGAAGAATTTTTCCCGTTAGACACACTTCTTCTTTTTCTTCGTCTGCCGTGTCTCACTCCAAAACTTCGCGTGTGGAGGGGACGAAGACGGGCTAGGCTACTTACGGCGTAGAACACGGTCAACGGAGCGACGACGGCGTTGACGAGGTAGATGCCCGCGAGGCAGCCGGCGCGGTTGCTCACGGGGAGGAATGACATCAGAGCGCCACCGATGATGCTGGAGCACAAAATTAGCAAGGCTTTTCTTATTTCTACCGTTCCGTTCCCTCGTCTCGAACGATGTTGTTTATGACTTACGCTGGGATGATGCAGGCGACGATCCAGGCCCAGCGGTTCGACTGGTAGCGAATACCGTATCCAACGAGGAGCGTGAAGAAGATGCTCACGACACCGGAGGGCATGTTCATCAGGGCGGCGTGCTTGGAGTCGTAGCCCAGGTTGCGGATAAGAGTGGCAGAGTAGGTGGTGACGACACCGCTGGAGACGGAAAGCTGCGGGCTTGTTAGCGAGGGCAGAAAGTTGTCAGGGGTTTTGCGGTACGCACGAGGACAACGGCAATGGTCATCAGGTACATCTGAGGGTCCATGAGCGCCTCGAGGATCTGCTTGGGGCGGAACTTGCGGCTCTCGATGCCGGTCTGGTTGACGCTGACGTGCTTCAGCAGCGCGACCTTCTCCGTGTCACTCAACCAGCGGGCCTTCATCGGGGTGTCCGGGACGAAGAAGAAGGTGGTCAGGCCAATGGTGACGGTGACGCAGCCGAGGACCACGAACATGATGCGCCAGCCCGCGAGGCCGGCGCCGGGGGCGACGTGCTGGAAGCCGTACGAGATGGCGCCGCCCAGGATCTGGCCGAGGCCGAGGCCCAGGTACCAGAAGGAGAAGCGCGGGGCCTGCTCGGACTTGGTGTACCACTGGGAGCTGATAAGCATAAGGGACGGGCCGATGGTCGCCTCGAAGATTCCCAGGAAGACGCGCGAGACGAGCAGGGAGGTGTAGTTGTGCGCGGCGGCACCGCAGGCGGTCGCGGTGCCCCAGAGGATCACGTTGATGCCCAGCCATTTGGCGGCGGGAACCATCTGGAGGAAGTAGACTGCGGGATGTGGGTGTCAGTGCATCCCTCTTTGCTTTTCCGAAGCCTCTCGTCCACGAGACCAGCGCTTGGCTTTTCTTCTTCCTCAAGCGAGGCCGGGGAGGGCCCAATGGGAAACATACTGTTTGGAATCTCGAAGCACAACAAACCCACGAAGAGGAATGTGGCAATGTTGGAGAAGTCGTTTCCGACCAACTTGAGGTCCTTGTTAAGACCCATCACGGCCGCGTACTGTTGTCACTCATCAGATTACTGTTTTACTCTCAGGAGATACGGCTGGATCGCAGAAGCAAGCGCCCGGGCAGTCCAAGCTGAAGAAGGGGGTGAGACGCACGTTGAGGATGACCTTGTCCAGGAACTGCATCGTGTAGCATCCGAACATGAGGGGCACGATGTGCCAGTCAATCTTGCGGCGGAGCGCATTGATGTCGACCGAGCTGGTGTCGCCGCCGGCCTCGCGGTGGTCGTTGAGGAACTTCCAGGCCGCGTCGACGGAGCCGGAGGACGGGCCATCGTGGCCGGACGCAGCCGAGCTCACGAGGTCCTTTGGGTTCTTCTCGTCCATGGACATGGTGTGTGTCTGGAACTAGGGTGTTTTCGAGAAAGAGGTTAAAAAATAAAGTGAATTAAAGAAGAAAGCAATATGCAAGCGCAAAGTGAACGAGTGTGACGTGACGCCCTGGAATTACAAGCCCGGTACGACCCAAAAGCACGATGTCTGTGATCGACGAGGAGGGCGCACAGGCTTCCGCTGCGGAGCTGCTGAACACTTAGAGTTTTGCTGATCAGCGAAAATAAAAAGAGGTGTCAGATGGAAAAGAAAGAAAAGCGACGGCGAGGAAAATAAAACGCTGTCGGCCGAGAAGGGATGGGATGGGATGGTAGTAATGAAGAGAGGGAGGAAGAAGCAACGAGGGAGGCCAAGAGCTGATTCGACCGCTCTGATTAATCCTGCAAGTGTTACTGCTACCCCTGTTTACGTCGGGCAAGGTGATGTTCCCATTCAATTATGAATCTGCTTCCGATTCTGGTTCGAGGAGGGCCCAGAAGCACGGCGTTGTGGTTTTTGTTGGAGCTGCTTGGAAGATGCACCTCACACCAAGCTGCGAGCAAGTGCTCTCTACTACATCCGCCCCCTCGTGATGCAGCATTTTTCAACATTTCCTTTTAATGTAACCCATCCTGTGCCTCTCAAGCCAAGCCTCTAAGCTACCTGGGAGCTCGTAGTGCCGTACGGCGCAGCTCCCCGATCCCCGCCTGCATTTTGCAAGGTTTGCGCGGTCGGGGGGAGGGAGGGGATTGCAGGGTTACGAGGGGGGACCCTGGATAGCTTTTTGTCGACCAGGGCCGACCCTCGCCTCGTCACTCTCGCCAACGAGCTCACCTCACACCCCCTGGCCACCGATGCACGCAACCTGGACCTCCAGTTCGAGAGCCGAGCATCGCTGTCTACGGACGGATAGGATGAGACCAGTGACAAGGTGAATGATGCATCCTCAGCTGAGGACTGGATCCAGGTGAAGGCGCAGAAACGGTGGGAACAAGAGACCAGTGGCCGCCGTTGCCAGCATCCCCGTCGAGGGCCCCATTGAAAGCAGTCCCATTCATATCCGGCCGCATCGCAGGTGAGCCTATGATCGAGTCCCAAAGCCAAAGCCAAAGCCATCTGCTCCCATCTCGCCAGACCGGCCCGCTCTCCAGAGGGCGCGCGCGGGGATCCAGGCTGATGGTGGCGCTCTCTGCTGATTCTTATCTCCCCATTCACCGGAACGAGGTCCGTAATGTGGCGGCGTTGTTAAAAGAACGTCCACCTGAGAAACAGCAAACGGGTACTGAGCCCACCAGCTGGTCCTGAGCAAGAGTCATGACGCAGAATTTCAGGACTCTGTTAACCACAAAAAAATGGGAGATAAAGTGCTTCGAAATCGTGTTCTCTGGGCGGGGGCAGTGCGACCGACCACGTTATTGTTGGGGGCGCCTTTTTTAATAACAGCAAGGCGGGCTCTGAGGAGCGTGGACGGGCAGCGCGGTATTTGCTGGACATGCCAAAGTGTCAAATTTACGCTTCTGCCGTCGAACGATATTAATCTTCTGCCCGGGTCAGAGGTTCGCACGACATTGTGTCGAGCAGAAACTTTCGCCTCGCCTTGCCTTGAAGCGAAGAGGCGGCACAGCAATAGACGCACCGTTTTGACGGGTTTTGACAGATACCGTCCGCTCGTCTCTTCCCGTCCCTCCCACTCCATTTCCCTTCTCTCGCCGCAATTGACCAGTCAAGTCTTCTTTTGGGAATTTGGAGGTGGTGTGCGGTCACTTTTTTTTTTGTTGGTCGGCCGCCATCTTTAGCTTCCAACGTTTCCATTCCCAGATGCAGCTTAAACAGCGACGACCCATGTTCACCCGCCGCCGTAGCTTGTTGCACCATCCCTCTCCAGGGACCGAAAGCGATAGCTTAATGTTCTTTTGTCATCCCGGCCTCCTGCCCCTTCGGATGGCACTCCGGACGGCATAATGGAAACGGTGGAAGCTTGAGAAGCGAAGGAAGAAGCAAAGGTTTGGAAACGAGACATGCGTGTTTTCCTTGGCGGAGGATGCCCAGTCTACACACGCACCCTGCCCCGATTTGCCTCAGGGAGAGACCACCACCACCGTAGAGAAGCGATGCACCTGTGCATTCGCGGCGGGGACCTCGTTGATCCCCCAAATAAGCACCCAGGCTTCTCGGCTTTTCCAATGTCACCTCGCAGAGGTTAGAGAAGAGGGAATCCACCCGGAGTGGCATCGCTGATTTCCTCCGCGCTCCGTGAATATGCGGTGCGGGCCCGTTCATTGGCCATGCAAGGCCATGCCAGTCTTGGCCGCGCACGACTCCCGCGGCCTGGCAAAACCCTATCAAATTGTTCGGAATTGGCGTGAAAGACGCATCCTTGCGATAGTTGAGACACTTGAGGATCGGGCTTTTCCTTTGGCAAGGCACCCCTCAGCTTCGATGTGCCTCGCACGCCAGATCAAATCACTCCCACGGCCCAAAAGATCCCTCCATCTCTCCTAGGTACCCTACCTTACCCCGTCATCGACCACCACCCCCTCCTCCATCTAAAATGTCGTGACCCAGTCGGTAGCAGACTTGCAAAGGGGCTTACCGAAACTGCGGGAAGGTCGAGCGGGAAGACACCAAAAGCAACACTTGTCACTGGCCCAGCTGCCTTATTCGCGGTGGATAAGGTGATCTCCCAGCCAGCAGCACACAGAAAGGAGCAGGGCCAGAGGTAATAAAGATTAAAGCGGCTCCCCCCAGTCCCCGTCGATTCAACGCCCTCGTGGAGCTGAACGGTTCTTCGGCCTCTCCACCATTGTTTGTCCCTTGCTTCCCAAATCTGCAGGCTAGGCTTCTTCTTTACCAGTCCGCCGGCGTCTCCTCGAAGTCCCCTTACTTGTTGGCTTGATTTATTCACCTCTGGTCCCTTCGCTGATTTCCTCGCGCGTGTTGGTTGTTGTCTTGTAAAGTTTGTTCATGTCTTGAAGCCACAAACGTGTGCGGCTCTTCTTTCCCATCGGTTTAGTCTACTGGGTCACATACGGCAGCTACCCGCAGCACTGTACGCCATGGGCTGGGTATTGAACGCCACTCCCGAGGTCGAGGCCATCTCGCAGTGGCCGACCATCATCGCCATCTGCACCGTTCTGTCGGTGCTGTCGGTCCTTATCGTAGGATCTCGATTGTACATCCGGCACACCGCCAGAGGTCTGGCTTCGGATGACTGGATGTCTCTGTTATCGGTGGTTTTTGCTCTCGCTTACTCTGGTCTTACCATCGGTCGTAAGTACACACAGCTGTCATCCTCATAAACATCTTCTGACGATTACAGAAACGAGATATGGTCTCGGTTTGCCCATCAAGCTCCGTCCCAAAGCGAACTTGATTCAGTACACGCGCATCAACTTTGCTGGCCGCCCCATCTATCAGATTGGGATCAGCTTCTTCAAGATTGCGCTCTTGATCAGTTACCTGCGCCTGCTCAAAGGCACCGATCAGAAGAGTTACCGGCGGGTAGTCTGGATGACCATCATCATCGTGTTTATCGCCCACTTGGGATGCGCATTTTCACTCGTGTTTGCATGCACTCCTGTAAGAAGGTTCTATACCACTACGATTACACATTACTAACTCTCTCCGCTCAGGTTGCCAGGTCATGGAACCCGACACTCCCTGGCACATGTCTGGCCCCGGGCCCGTCTTTCACCGCGTACGCCGTGGTCACCATCGTCTCTGATGTCGTCGTGGCCCTCCTCCCCATCCCAGTCCTTCTCAAGCTCAACATCCGCTTGGAGAAGAAGGTCGGCCTTATCGCCATTTTCCTGCTGGGTCTCTTCACGACGCTCTGCTCGATTCTTCGCTACCTCGAAATCAACCGCATCCAGTTTGGCGACGGAAACTCGACGATGCTGGTTTTGTGGGGAACCATCGAGTTCAACGTTGGTGTAAGCAATTGCCAAGCCCCGGTTGTTCGTCTCATAATGCTAACGAGCGGCACAGAACATCGTCTCCTCGCTCCCCTTCCTCGCGCCCGTGTGCATGAAGAAGGCGAAAGACTACCGCTCGAAGTACTCTGGCGGCTCCTCCCACGGACGCAGCGGGATGAAGCACGCCGAGCGGTACAAGCTCAGCGACATGAACCACGACAAGAGCGTCTTCGCCTCGGCGAACCACAGCAAGGGCGACAACGGCAGCGAGGAGAACATCCTCCCCGGCAACATTATGAAGTCCGTCACGTACAGCGTCCAGGTCGACGACAGAGTACAAGGCAAAGGGTCCACACGGAGGAGGGATTCGAAAGATTCGGTTTGAGTTTGGACGGAATGATTTTACGGTTGACACAGCGGCTACGGCACAAAACATAAAAGATGTACATGATAATGTGTAAGGGTATTAGAACAAGAATCGAGACATTGATAGATCTACAAAGAGGCGTTCGGGGGCCATTTTACCATCATCATCACGAGTTTCAATTTTTGTGAGCGATCACTTCCCACCAGGGGACTCCAAAGTCCGACCCCAGAGTTGGATCTAGACGAGGGAATCCTCAGTATCACCATCTTCCCGTCAGCGAATGCGACTCTCGATCGGAAATCATGAGCAGTAAAAATAGGGGACATGGACTGCACGGGCTGCTGATCGCTCTCCACCAGCAGACTGGGGCACAATTACGTGGCTCATGCTCATGATTCAATCCCCCTCCAGATCCCACTTCACGAGGAACATATGGGGAGTCGAACGATGGGCAATGCAAATCTTTTCCCACTCTTCATTCCCAAGAATGCGGTGTACGCGATGGCCACGGCGATGCACGTCTATTAATCTAAAGTGGTATCCTGACTCTATCCTGAATCTATCTTACTCTTCATCAAAGTGAAGCTTCATCTCCCGCTTGCTGAGGAGCGGGCTCGTAGGGCTAATCTTGGGCCAGTCGTGCGCGTCCAGACAGGCCCGCCGCGACGCCAGCACGCCGGGCCGCGCCCTGGCGACGACGGCATCTTCGTAGACGTCCATGGCCGCCCTGAGCTCCGGGAAGCCGGCGCCGCTGCCCAATTTCGGGCCCACGGCCTCTGCGAAATCCAGGACGTCGAGGATGGCGTGGTTCGCACCCTCGCCTCTGTCTGTGCGTGCCGTCAGCCATCATCCTCGTTTATTTGAGACGAACCCTTCTCCCGAGGGATCCTACGGAGCAACCCATCGGGTAATAAGGGGGATGGAAGCCAAAAACATGAAAGTTTCAATGCTATAGGGGCGGGCACTTACACATTGCCATGGCATGGAAGGCGTCCCCCATCAACACCGCGCGTCCTGATGAACGAAGGCCCTTTGGTGGAGGATAGTCGAAGAGGTCGAGTTGTTTCACGTCGGTGTCAGCAGGAATGCCGAGTGCAAGGGAGCGAAACGGCTCCGACCAGCCGCTGGCGAACGACCTGATGAGATCGAGTCTGCCGCCGTTGGTCTCCGGAAATCCCGTCGGCTCCGGCTTGCCCAAGAAGCCCGGACGATCCGGCCACGAGATGCACATCTGGCAGCTGTACTTGCCCGAGCTGTCATCATTGTTGCCGGGGGCGTCGAGCACTGCGGTAGAACAAACGCACAGAGTTCGTGTTAGTCTTTTTCCATGCCGCGCGCATCCAGAAGGACGATGCTAGGGGGGGTGGATGAGGAATTGGGCATAGCTCGAGATCAAGGTTTTCTCCGCCCTTCGATAGCGCGCTGGGGATTTGCGCCCACGGTCAGGGACAACCCTGCCTCGGCGATACGGTTGATCTCGGATCATCGTCCCTCACCATCGTCGGGAAATCAGAAGCCAAGGAGAGGGGAGAGAGAAATCGAATGCAACGTTGGATGAGAAAAGGATGACAAAGAAGGTGTACTCACTGCTAAGATACAGAAAAGTGTCGTTCTGAGACGACGTCCCTTGCAGGAAGAAAGGATCAAGCTTCCGGATCGGCTCCATCTCTTCGGGGGACGGAAACACCTTCAGGCCAAGAACCCGGACCGGGATCCGGTGCCTCTGATGGTGATCCGGGAAAAGCTGCGTCCGCACTCGGGATGCGCCTCCGTCGCATGCGACGAGCACGCGACCGGCGCACGCTGAGCCGTCCTCGAAGGACACGATGACGGAGTCCTCCTTTTCCTCGTAGCTAGCGAAGCCCTTCCCCCACTATATTGCAACTCAACATCAGGATCTGGCGCGGAGAGGAGAAAACACAGAGAGCCCCATAATCTAAAAAGGTAAAAATCGCGAATCATACCTGGATGTCGATGCCGGTCGCAACAAGCCGACGCAACCTCTCCCTCGTAACCCTGATCCGCAGGCTCTCCGGCGCGCGGGGGCTTGCGCCCTTCAGCTCGCCGGTGCTTAGGTCGAAGAAGGGGAACGCGGAGGCCTCGCCCCTCGCGACGGCGGCGCGGTCGACGTAAGCCTCGGGCAGGCGGGCGACCAGGTCCTCGGGCAGCAGGGACCGCAGCGCGGGCAGCGACCAGTGCAGCGTCAGGCCCCAGCCGACACCGCGAGTGGTGAGGTCCGTGTCGCGCTCGAAGATGCGGAAGGGCACGCCGGTCTTGCGCAGGTGCTGGGCGAGCAGCAGGCCGCTGACGCCGGCGCCGATGATGATCACGGGGAGGGGCCCTTGCTGTGCTGAGGTGTCTTGGACCGCCATGGCTGTGGCTCTGTGTCTCGGTAAAACGGCGTTTGACGAATTATGGATTAATGGTAGGGGGTGTGTTACTCGGCTGGCAGACCAAGTCGTTTTGCTTTTTGATGTGCGGTGCAGATGCAGCGGTAGCAAGCGTAAGCAACAGGGCGAGCAGCCAAATGAAACGCAATGGCGGAAAACGGCACCAATGACAACTTAATGCTGAACTGCAGTTGTCGTAATGTATGTTACCAGTGGCGTGTATTAGCAATTGGCGCTCAGCTTGCTTGTCTTGGCTGTGCTATGTTGGGCTCAGTCACTCAGTAGGCACTTCCGGTGCTTGAGATGGCACTTCCGATGCTTGTGGACGTCCAATTTCACTCTGTCTATCCATAGAGGGCCCCGTTTCTCAACTTATCGAACCACTCCGCTGCTAATGTTGAACCGAAAACTCTAATCCCACTTCCCATGCCCTGGACCCCAAGTGGACGAGGACGCAGAGTCGCCTGATGTCAGGGGTTTTGAGGGCCAGGATCTCCTAGCGACAGAGACCCTTGGCACGGGAGGATCGCGGAGCACCTCCCCGGCGCCACTGTCCACACCACCTAAGAGACGCCGTCGACGGGTGCTGGCGGCCTAGAGACCCTTACGGCAGCCTCCCGGCGCCATTTCCTTCAGCGACCTCCCTAGGTGGTAACTTCGCCGGTAAGGCAGAGCGGGAGCGGGAGGGAAGCGGAGGGCGTCTCGTCGGCTAATGATCTCTGTCGTATTTCGAGGTCTGTGCAACCGACAGAGCGCGGCGGTGGGCCGCAATCACACTACGATCTGACAGCACCGATATCTGTCAACCCGTCTTTGACGTCTGTCGATGACAACCAATTGACTTTGGGCAGCGATTGTCCATCCAAAGAAGCCTCACCTGAAGAAGTATCGAGTTGTCCGGACAGAAGAGGTGGCTGCGAAACCACACTCCTTCATCCCTCGGTCTGGCTCAGCGAGCCAGGGGATGCTGGCCCAGCCAGAACCGCTAATCTCGGAGTGGCTAAAGGGGGTGGAGGTAGCAGGCACAACCAAAGCAAAAGTTCGCAACTGGGCCCGTACGTAATTCCACCGAGGAGCCCTGCCCACAGGGCGAAGAAGAGAAAAAAGTGGTCGGATTTCGTGTTGGTGTGGTGGTTTCTCCTCCTTGCAAGTTACCAATTCTCCTCCCCCAGAGCCACACCAGCTCGCCGCCTTGCCCTCCAGTCCGTTCATGGCTAAGCATTTTCGCGAGTGGATGCTTCTCCGGGAACGCTATGCCGTGACCCAGGCAAAAAACAGAACAGAAAACTCCACCGTCGTCGACTCTTTGTAGCGCACCAACCGCGCAGCCAGTCAACGACATTTCCCAAGGATGGTCGCATTCGTTACCAGACCACTAGCCCTTCCTGTCCCTGAACTTCACAAGGGATGCCTTGCCGGCACACAGGCCGCTCTGCCCTCTGAGGCCAACCCATTGGCCCAGTTTACGCCACGCCAGACCTGGGTTTCGAGGACCTGAGCATATTCCAGCCTCTTAAACCCGAGATATTGGATGACATTGAAGCTTCCTCTGTTCGTTTCTTGGACCCGAGATTGATCCGGGCCCCCTCAAACATGAACTCACTGTGAGCATGCCAGAACTCCCTCTCGATTCGATTGCGCGAGGAAAGATGCGCCGAAGAGAGTACCATCGGCCGCAGATCAGACTTTTTTCTCTCTCCCGCAGTCCCTACCGGTCAGCCATCCCAAGAAAGCACCCCCTGTTTATGGGCCGATGCAGCGCAACGGCGCAGCGAAGCACACCTTCCAGCCTACGTTAGCTGCATCCCACGCCGGTTCTTCTCGGTGATTTCACTCTCGCATCGCCGCCATGAATCTGGTAAGGCGTCCGGTTTCCGTGTCATGTAAACGAGGGAAATCCCGCCCGAAACCGTTCCTGGGTCGTAATAGCGTACGGCGCAGCAGCAAAACGGTTGTCGTAAGAACTTTTTTTCCTACCTAATTTTCCCGTCGAAGCCTCGGGATGGAACGTAACGTTGGCGGCGGCGGCACTTGTCGGTCCTTTTCTCTTGGTCTCGATTGATCGTTCCATCAGAGCTACGGTAGAGCTTCACGCCCACCGTTAGTTCAAGGTTCTGACTGTTTTCATTTGACAAGCAAACCATCAGATCGAACCCGTCTATGGGAAATGCCCCGACCACTGACGTTCTGATTACGAAACTGATGGTGCCCGCCCCTGGATCTGACCCCCTCAACGACACCGATCGCCTGGATCTTCCAGCGAATGGTGCGGCGGATGCGAGCGACGCGCGCATACTCTTGCGTGCCTTATTATTTCCATGTGTTCTGGGTTGCAGATGCAATGCATAAATCACGCCGCACCGAAACTCGCATCTGCCGACACGAGGAGCCAGCCAAGGTGCTGTAATGCAAGTTCGTTACGGACGCAGTGCAATGCTATTCACACCGTTCATTCAACGTGTCTCCCGTCTTCAGATTAGATCCAGATACGGAAATGACAAAAGAGTCACAACGCAGCCGCGCACATTTCCACTTGGTCGGAGTCCCTCCGCCGCCTTATCTACCCTATCGCCAAGCAGAACCATCATCTCGCGCGCCTCGACTGCCTGACGGCCCCTGAGGCGCAAGCGACGCGAAGCGAAGGGGGCCAGATTCTTCCCCTCGAGCCTTGGAAATCTCTGGGAATCTTTCCTCCGGTGGAGTCGTAGGCGAGCGAGCGGGGGGTGCCGTGTTGAAGATTTTTGATGACCACCACCCCTCCCAGGGTCCCCAAGCTGCGCAGGGGAGGGCGCGGAGGACCCATCAGGGCTGCGTCGACGAGTGAGAAGTGACAGCATGGGGGCCAGATGCTGTAGCCCTGTCGATACAACGCAAGCCATGGGCTCTTCATAGAGTTTTGCTCGTCCATGGTACCGATGTTGCTTGCCCTTCAGAAACCTGGGATATTGGTCCGGAGGTCTGGATGAGGTTGTTGGCGCCAGAAGGGGCGATCGAGCGGCGACGAATAACATCACCATGTCCGGCGGAGAAACAGTGGTGAGCCCCGGCCGATGGGGAGTCCCAGGTTGCAGGTGAGGAGTCGGGCGTCCGCCGACGGCATGGAAGCATCTTGCTGCCGGTCGTGTGTCGTCCCATGAAGTTGTCCAGACCGTTGAGTCCAGGGTCCTTGGTGCAGAAATGGATTCATTCCCAATTTCCTGGGTTGGCTTGCATGCAGACAGGCCACTGGCTCCAACAAACACGGAGACATGGTGCTTTCAGTGTCATCGGAAAGTAGCTCCGTCCCGGTGAAGCTTTCTCGTTCCCAATCCAGTAGTCAAGAGCCGTCGCGTATGCCTTGCGTAAACGAGCGGTTTTTCCATGGGCCCGTGGACGATGTCTCAAGGGAGAACTTCGGGTCCGACCATGAAGAGCTTGCCTAAGCTAGCGACAGATTCGGGAGACATGTATGTTTCCGATGTTACATCATGATTCATGACTCTCGCCCATGAAGCTTCGAAGGGGTCGATGAGAGCTCATCTCACTTTGCTGTCACGAGGATGTCTTGATGTCTTCGCCCCTGAACCGCTCACAATACTTTACTCAACGTTAACTGACTTTCAATAGTCTAGACTCTGTTGGCCTGTCGCTGGCAGGCTTCTCTTACACTCCCTGGTCACATAACACACCCTGACTTTGGGGGAGTTTGAGACGGTCTCTTAAGTCTGCGCATCCGCAAATACAGCTCCTAGCTACCCTTTAGTATGCGTGGCGCTCCGTTATGAAAGTGGCTGCCTGGCTAAGAACGGCCGCTAACGACGAGCTCAGTCTATGTCCCATCCTTCGTGAGAAGTTTGTTCAAAGATCGCCTCACTCATGATTGAATCATACCACGAAGAGCTGCAACATTCTGAAGAAGTGACACGTTCATCACGCGCTTGTAGGGATTCTCATCCATGGGCAGGTGTCGCTACTGCAGGCTCCATGCGTTCGCAGATACGATGGGACTTGCCTTCGCAAAAGCCACCCGGCATAGCTCCGTAGGTAGCCGAAGGAGGACAAGGGAGCCAGAAAGTTACTCAGGCTGGGAGCAGTGTTGAAATGGGGGTCTTGGGGCCAAGACCGAATCAAGGGTCGTCTAGTATTAGCATGGAACGATCGAAAGAGAACTCAACTATGAGAATTACATTTTGCGCTGGTGAAAAAGAGTACCTGTAGATGGAGACGACTGGGGCTTCATTGGAGATACTGCCTATGGATACCGTGGTTCTGGGAAAGCTTCGTTCGTTGAAACTGGCTTATATGTTTGATACAACATGCGATAAATGTATCACTTCTGGGGACACCAATGCTACCTTGCAATAAGGGAAAAACAGTTTTTGAACCCGTCGAGATGAAGTATCACTTAGCCTGTCAGTCGCTTGAGTTGGAGCCTACAGGATGTGAGAGATGGGTTTTGTGACGAGTTTTGCTATCCGGGCGGATACTTCTAACTAAACGGGCAGAACACTACCTGCTATAACAAAAGATCATTCTCTCTGTAAATCCCTCATTGCTGTCGTTGCTGTCATTGCTGTCGTTGTCGTCGTTGTCGTCGTCCTCATCGTCGTCTTCTCCTTACTTGTTACTGCTGTGGTATTTTCACTATCCGTCCAAATCCAATAGCAAATGAGCTGTACATAATCATAGGTCAGTCGTGAGTTGACTGGATGAGTTCCATGTTCGTTCCACGCTTCGCTTTAGTCACTAGATGAGATGTAGTAGAAAGCTCTATGGCCAAGTCCTTGAGACTACAGGAGACATCTGAGCACCCGCTCACTTGAGCTCGATGGCAGAAGTCATATACGGAACATCTTGAGGAGAAAGAGTTAATTATTGATGACTTATTGCAAGATGTTGTTCAATAAATAGTATGCGCGACATGACGTTGAAGGAAGATCAGAGGCCAAGATCCAAACAAAGTCTTTTCGCATTCCATCAGACCAGAACTTAACTAGGACGTG